TGGCATAAATCTCAGGATCTAAAAATTATCAGCCAGACTATTCTATCTTTGACATCTGGCTGAATAAAGTACCAGACTAGCCCAGTGTGGTGGCTTGCATCTATAATCCCATCAACTTGGGAAACTGAAGCAGGAGGATTGTAAGTTTGAGGACAGCCTTGGCAATTTAGCAAAGCCCTAAGCAATTTAGCAAGACCCTGTCTCAACATAAAAAATAAAAAGGGATGGGGGCTGGGGTTGTGGCTCAGCGGGAGAGCACTCACCTTGCACATGCAAGACCCTGGGTTCTATCCTCAGCACCACATAAAAATAAATAAGTGAAATAAAGGTATTGTGTCCAACTACAACAAAAGAATTCAATAAATAAATAAAAGGGCTGGGACTATAGCTCAGTGGTTAACCACCCCTGGGTTTAACCTCTTGTACCCACCCAAACACACACAAAGTAAACATACGTAGAAAAGACAAAGCTAGCACAGACTTATAGTATTTCTCCTTAATTACATGTGAAACTCATGTATAACTGTATTCTTTCAGCCATTTTGAAAAATATAAAATAGAAGGCATCAGATTATTCATCCCCATAAAGTAGTTTGTTAAATAGTGTTAGATTCTCTCCCCCCCCCATATCAGTCCTTGATAACTTACTAAAGATGATCAATTATTATTTATTTCATCTGGCTCACTCAGTGCTAACTAAGAACCCAGTTACTTACAATCTGTTGTAAACTATTTTTACAAACATCTCTTGATAGCTAACATTTTAAAGGAAAAAATGATATGGGGTACAGTCTATAAGTGTGGAGAAAGTACAAGTCTCTAGATCCCAAGAATACTATATTTATATTACAGATACATATGTTTCCATGAAACCCTTTTTCAGTGTCTCCTTTTGTTTATAAGGAGAGAGGCAGTTATATATCTAAGCTAAAAAAAAGGATGCTGAAAATAATCTAGACAAGATGCCAGCTAAACTAGGGGAAAGACAGCATTCTTGCAAGTATCCCAACCAACAGTCTTCTTTTATATGTAGCAGCTGTAAATGCAGAGGACCACCAGAGTCCAAAGAAAATGGAAAGGTTGTCATGATTTCACTTGTCTGAACCTCTTTCCAGTCTCTTTTCCTGTTTTCTAATGTAGCCAATATCCTCCTACTGTGCTTTGGCTGCCCAAGATACATACTTCCCTCTTCTCCAACTGAATGCTTGAATATTTAGTAGTTTTTTGTTTTGTTTTGTTTTGTGTGGGGATTTTTGCTGTTTTATATTTGTTGTATTGGGATTGAATCCAGGGCCTACACATGCTAGACAAGTACTCCATCACTGAGATACGCCCCCCAGCCCCTCTTTGTTCATTTGATTTTGAGACAGGGCTCACTAAGTTCCCCAGGTTGGACTCAAACTTGTGATCTTCCTGCCTCCGTTCTCTGATTTGTGAGGATTACAGGTATGTACCATCCTGCCTAGGCAACTAGCTTTTATTTTTTTTGGGGGGGGAGTATTGGGGATCAAACCCAGGGCCTTGCACTAGGCAAATGCTCTTCCACAGAGCTATATCCCCTGTCCCAGCAGCATTTCTATAAATGAGAACATCAGACAAACCCTTGATTAATCATAATTTATCATGATATTACTAAGTGACGAAGACTTCATAGTTCTGTTAACCAAATGTATATTTTATATTTGGTTAGAAGAATACCTAGAAGAAGGGAAAGCCTCCTATTTTAATAATTTAGTTAAAATATAAATATTACCACAGCATGTGTTGTTATTGTCTTTGAATATGCTTCCATGTGTTAAGGTTTTGAAAAGTTTGAGGTTCATCATAGTCAAATATAGTTACCATGATTTTCAGAGAGGTAAACCCTGTTTCTCTTACTGTAGTGTACACTCCTTGAAGGCAGATGCTGTATTTATATATTGGTTTCTCCCACAGTACTTCCTTGGGTCTTTTCAGAGAAAACATTGAACTGGAAAAAATAGAACAGAATTCTTATCAACAATTTAAATATAACCCTAATTCCCTGTTCTAACTTAGACCACACACTACTCTCTTCATTATCCTGCAAGGCCATGTTTGCAACTGCCTGTTGGGATATCTTCATGAGTCCTCAAGCAGATTAAATTTTGTGTTAACTAACACTGAACTAATTTTCTTCCTATTCAAATCTGTTTATTTTCTTTTGTAATAGAAAGATAACACATGAGGCTCCAGATCTCAAAAACGACTCTGTAATTCCACTTGTATCCTTTCCCTCCTCGTTGTCCTGCTGTTGTTTTTGCATAGGACTGGCCCAAGTCCTTGTTACCTCTTCCTAGTGATTGCAGTAACTTTTCTTCTTGGCTGGGAATATAACTCTGTGGGTGAAGCACTTGCCTAGCATGGGAGAGGCCCTGGCTTCAATCCCCAGAACTGGAAAAAAATTATTTTTAAAAAAACACACTTATTTTTCTTCATTGCCTTCATTGTGTGGTCCATTTTAAACACTGCCTGAGCAATTTTTCTAAAGCATAATTCCAGTCTTGATTCATTCCTTCTCTTGAAGACTTCAGTGGCATTCCCAGTGGTTCAGCATGGAACCAATCCTCAGGAACCATACAATCCAGCCTGTCTCTGTCCACACTATTTCTTCTTGTTTTCCTTTATACCTCATCCCCATCTTTGCCTGTTTATCCCAGATTTCTCTAACAGTTTCTAGTTATGATTTAGTCCTTTCTCCCTTGTTCAGTTTGAGTAGATTCTCCTCTATGCTCCTATAGTCTTATAGTTCATAAATTTTCATATGATTCTTATCACATTCTGTCCTTGAGAGCAACTTTTCTTGTTTGAGATTGCCCCACCACTTCTGGTATAGTGACTTGCATGCAGTTAATACTGTTTGTTGTTGACATGGATTCCTGCTTATGGATCTCTAAAGTGTCTCCAGTACACATCATTCTGTTGTCTATGATACTTAAATTTTTTTTTCAGTTGTAAGTGGACACAATACCTTTATTCTATTTATTTTTATGTGGTGCTGAAAATTGAACCCAGAGCCTCACACATGCTTGGCAATTGCTCTACCACTGAGTCATACCCCCCAGCCCCTGTCTATGAAACTTTTAATGTATCTATGAACTTTCCCATATAAGAGATAGTTTCTACTAGAATTTTGTTTTAAAGATAGAGTTAGTAAAAAACCTAAATATCAAATTCCCTTTCCTTTGGAATAGGAGTTGGTCATGGCATATAAGAACCAATCTTGAAAAACTATTTTTTTATTTGTATTTCTAGAAACACTTTCTACTTAAAGTGACTATAATTTGTATCTTATTGTCCATATACAGATCATTTATAAATAAAAATTAGCATTGTAAGTAATGTTAATATGTATTATATTTATACAAAATAAATCTACTATAATATTACTACTGGTGTGATGTCTTTTAAACCCTACCATTTTTCAGTTACTTTTTTTTCTTCAGTAATAGGGATTGAATCCAGGGATGCTCAATCACCAGAAGCTACATTCCCAACCCTATTTATTTATTTATTTGAGACAGGGTTTTGCTAAGTTGCTGAGGCTGGCTTCGAATTTTTTATTTTCCTGCCTCGGCTTCCTCAGAGTAGCTAGGATTACAAGTGTGGGCCACCACTCTCCTCTATATTTGTTTTACCTAACATGGATTTCCACCCTGAATCTGTGGCTGCTTTCCTATAGCTGATCTATGTTAAATGCCGAAGAAATTTCAAGGAGAGCTTATCCTAAAGTTTAAACTACACAGTACTTTGAAGACAGGGCGGGGCTTCCTATCACAAGCAGCCACTGTCAGAATGTGAGGTTCTGGTAGTGCCATTTCATTTCACAAATCTTGAGGCCAGAAGGTATTGATTGTCTCGCGTACTTGAAATACACCATCAGAAACAACATTCTAATGATATTATTGCTCCATTAGTCATTATTTCTTTATGCACAATAGTTAAGTAAACTCTACTATTTCTTTACTACCTGATTCTGCCTCAGATTTTTATATTAAGGGAAGTTTAAATATCTGGGATATACCAGACTCGTTTGTTCTCTAATAGAATGTAATGTAAGAGCATTTAGCAGAATCCAGTTTTCCAGAAATTAGAAATAGAACTGCATAAAACCTAGTCGGTTAATGTTATTACTCAAATCTGAAACATTGACCCCAAAATGCCTTCAATAGACTACATTTGGCAAACACTAAGCTAAAGGGCGCACATCACTTGTAAAAGTGGCTGATGGGCAAGCAGATCTGGCGAGCCGTTTCCCTCCAAGCCGACAGGGGGCGGCCGACTCTCAGGGGCGCTGCTCCACTCTCCAGTCTCTCCGCTCCACCCAGGGAACGTCACGACCCCCTCTCGCTGCTTCTCCACGTCGTTATTGCGCAGGCGTGGATTGGAGAGCTCACGGCCGAGCCGAGGGAGGGGTCACGAACTCTGACCCCCCCACCCAAAACACAAACCCAGAAAGCTGTTTACCCCTACTTCGCCTCGGTTCCCCACTCCCTTCAGCTTTCTCCAACTCTCCTCCCGGGGCGTCTTCCCCACCCAGCTGCCGCCGCAGCGGGACTGTCGGGTCGGCGCCCGACTGAGGAGTTAGTGCAGCGGAGAGACGCGGGTAAGAAGTGCCGGGTGGGGGGACAGGGCCGTGACGGCGCCTGGGAAGGGGTCGGGAGTGCCCCTTTATCCCAACTGCCAACGGACGCAGCCTTAGCGCGTTCGCACTGCCTGCGGTCGCCGCCCGGCCCTGCCGATCTGTTCGGAGTGCCGCGGCGGGCTGCTCGGGTCGGGCCGCGGGTGCGAGGAGTGGCCGGAGCGTCGGGGCCCCCAGAGAGGCTGAGGCCGTGTAGTCGCGGCGGGACACGGCGTCGGCCTAGAGGCCGGGGCGGCCGGGCGCGGGGACTGCAAGCGAGCGGCGCGGTGCACACCGCTCCCTCTCCCGCGGCACCTCTGACCTTTCACCTACAGGAAAAACTTCCGTCTCGGCGGCGCCACCGCCGCCGCTTTCCCCGCCCCGGGAAGCCGAGGGCGCATGGCGGCGGCGGGCGGGACGCTGGAGAGGTGCATCTCCTTCTCTGGGCCTGGAACCCTTTCTCCGTGGCCGCGGACTGATTCCGAGCTTACACAGTAAAGATAGAATGGCGCTCTCCACTCTCACTTTTCTCTCACGACAAATAGAGGCGAGAGTAGCCTCTGCCTTAGGACCTCTGAGTTTTAGAAAAAAAACAAAAACGGAATGGCCCAGGGTCCTCGCTGCAGTAGACATGTCCAAGCTACCAGTAGCTCTTTTGTTAAGAACTCTGCCTCCAACTCGCGCAAACATCACTTTATGAAATACAGATGTTGCCAACTCGCCCCGTAACCTTCAGTAAGTAGGTCAGCGTGTAAAGTAACTGGAAGAGAAAAGCAGGCTTGAAGTTAAGGTCTTTAGGGCTTTTGCTTCCCCGGAAGTTGTAAGTATACCTCGGATTTTGAGGTTATTTTAGCATTGTCTACTTGTGTGTTGGGTGATGCACGGTTGATTTTGAATTTGGTTTATATGTGCAGTTGTTGGATCTGAAAGAGAGATTGTAGATCAGTTCAACTCAAGACAATGAAAGGAAAAAGAACTTTGGGGTCTTAGAAATTTGCAGTTGGGGAGACACATATTCAAATAGCTCTGAATCCGTGTTTCAAGGATGGTGGGCACTTACGTGAGTTGTTGAATGTTGAAAAAACAAGGGCTCAATGAACTACAAAGATACAAAAAGGAACATATATGCTTAGTAAAAAGGCCCATAAAACAAGGGTCTAATAATATTTTGGTATGCATCTTGAATCTGTGAGTATAATGTAATTTTCCAGTTCTGGTCATTCCAGAGTCTTGTGGTCAAAGTATGGAGGTGACCAAAGTTCACATTCCTTGGCAGCAGCTTGAGTCCTGCTTCCTTTATGGTTTCCACACCAATTTTGAAAGATCTTAACAGTGTTGCTTTCATTGTATTAAAAATTTTTCTGTTATAAAAAGTATCACGGGAAGGGGCTGGGGCTGAGGCTGGGGCTCAGCGGTTGCACACTTGCCTAGCCTGTGTGAGGCACTGGGTTCTATTCTCAGCACCACGTATTTAAAAAAAAAAAAAAAAAAAAGTACCATTTGAACCCTGGGCCCCAGGTGCACACAGTTGTAATTCCAGCTCAGCTACTCTGGAGGCTGAGAGAGGAGAATTGGGAGTTCAAAGCCAGCCTCAGCAAAAGTGAAGCACTAAGCAACTCAGTGATACCCTATCCCTAAATAAAATACAAAATAGGACTGGGAATGTGATTCAGTGGTCGAGTGCCCCAGAGTTCAGTCTCAGCTATCCAAGGGGTGGAGGGTATCACATGAAATGTAACTCATTTCATTATTCATTGTAGAACATTTTGGTATCTTAAGGGTTTTGAGGAAGACACAAGTCAATGTTTCCTGAGAAACCTATTGATGGTGTGTGCCACACAAAGTATATGATGCCTATCCAAGGGAAATAAGAAAGACTAAAGAAAAAACAGCATACAATAAGTAATGGTATATGTATGAACTTTTTGCCTTTATTGAGTCATATGACCTACAGTCTTTTTAAATATTTTAGGAACCATCTTTAGAAAATTGCAACTCTATAAAAATTTTACATGTTAGTAATTAATGGAAGTCTCTTCCTGAATCCTTGTTAACAATCTTACTGTACACAATGAATGCTACACCAATCTAGACATATTGGGTAAGCCAGGTGTGGTGGCACATGCCTATAATTTCTGTTACTCTAGAGGCAGAAACAGGATCACAAGTTTGAGGCCAACATGGACATCTCAGTGAGACCCTGTGTCAAAATTAAAAGGGCTGAGAGTGGGCTGGGATTGTAGCTTAGTGGTAGAGCACTTGCCTCGCATGTGTGAGACACTGGGTTCAATCCTCAACACCACATAAAAATAAATAAATAAATAAAGATATTGTGCCCATCTACAACTAAAAAAATACATTTTTTTTTTTAAAGGTTGAGAGTAGTTAAGTGGGAGAACACTTCTAGCATTATTTTATGGCTCTGGGTTAATCCCCAGTACCACAAGAAAAGGGCAAAAAGGAAGAAGAAAGAAAAATTGGGTAAAAAAGTGTTGGAACTAAATCTCAAAGGTCAAGTTGAATTTAAATGAGGGAAGAGGAAATCAAAATGGTATATTCAGGAATAATAGAAAATAAAACTCCCTTATCTGGAGTTTTCCTTTCCATGGTTTCAGTTATATATAATCAACTCCCAAAATTTTACCTCAAGAATTCCTAAGTTGGGGTTCTTGGGCTGGTTTTTTGAAAATTATAGCACTTAAAATGGTTTGTAGTATGAATGAATGTGAACTTGGGTTTTTCTGCTGAGGAAACCTTAACTTCATCAGATTTTCAAAGGGACCTATTCCACCTCCACAAAAGAAAAGAGAGAATTGTTATTTTATATCATATTTTCAGATCTTACGACAACATACCACACAAATAAGTTTTGCATGATATATACCAAATTGAAATAGTTTTCTTCAGGATATTTCTGTCCCTTAAAAATCTGATATGCTATTTCTATATAGTATATATTTTTTATGCACTGTGTTCGATTCTCTCCCTTCTTCTTTCTATTCTAGTTGCGGTCTACTAAATTATTTTACCCATGCATAAACAGGTCACAATACAAAGATTGCAAAATAGTGCTTTGGGTGATAGTAGCCTATATTGAGTATGGGAGTGGGACTGGAAAGAATGGGGACAAGGAGCAGATGTTAGGAAAATAAATTAACCGTATCAGATACAGAAGTTGAGTCAAAAAGCAATGTTAAGTTTCCTAATCTGAATGGAAAAGGATGGCACCATCTACATCATAGGCTTTTTCTTTTTTAATCTATTTCTGTGGGAAAGATGTGAAGGTAACTGAACAAGGGATGATGTAGGTTTCTGTGCCTTCTGTTAATTAGCTCTGGAGTAGTAAAGACAGCATTCTCATGTGTTTTGCTTTTTCTCTCAGGCTGGTAAAAACACTTATCCTTCAGTAACTCATGTCTCTTCTAATAGATTACCTGGGACCTCCTCTTTTAGGTTGATCATCTTTAACACTACTCCTGTTCATTTAGGGAGCACTTTGTTAATTCAATAAAACTTTTTTTTTTTGTTTTTTTGGTACCAGGGATTGAACCCATGGGTGCTTAACCACTGAGCCACATCCGCAGTCCTTTTTATTTTTTATTTTGAGACAGGGACTCACTAAGGGCCTCTCTAAGTCACTGAAGCTGACTTCGAACTTGAGATCCTTCTGCCTCAGCTTCCCGAGCTCCTAGAACTACAGGTGTGCACCACTACACCCAACAATAAACCTTTTTTCTTTATAACTTATCCAAATTTGGGTATTCTGTTTTGCAACAGAAACAAGACTAGCTGATGATACCGTATTTTATTTATTTCTTTGTTTTCTGTTCACCCACCAATACATAAATATAACAAGGGGAAGATGTGTTTGTTTTTGTTGTTGTTTAATATTTTTTTTTAGTTGTGGATGAACCTGTATTTTTATTTATTTGTTTATTTATATGTGGTACTGTGGATTAAACCCAGTGCCTCACACATGATAGGCAAGTGCTCTGCCACTGTGCTACACCCTAGCCCTGATGTGTTTAAGATCCTCTCCTGTATCCCCATCTCCTAGAAAATTTCCTGGCCTATAAAATGTGCCCAACGAGTATTTGTTGAATGCAAGACTGTAGAATAAATTGTTGGATAATAAGTTTGAACATTTTTAAAGTTCTTGATGCGCAATGGCAAATTACTTTTCTAGGAAGGTTAAAACAGTTTAGTTTTCTACCAGCTATCTGTAAAGAATACCTGTTTTGCCTCATCTTTTGTGCTGAATTAGTCTTGGAAAGTAAGTATTGATCTACTGATTCCCTAGTATTTATGGTACTGAGAAAAGCCATTAGCAAAGACGTGGCAGTATGAAACAACATGGTTAAACTCAAGAAATTACAATAATATGTACAGCTAGAATGTGTAGTTTAACAAATGACACCTCAGATCCTTATAGATAAGGGAAATCTATGAAGAATATTAAGAGTATTGGGGATTGAACCCAGGAGTGCTATGACTAACTACATTCCCACTTCTTTTTATTTTTTGAGACAGGATCTTGCTAAGTTTCTGAGGGTCTTGAAAGTTGCCCAGGCCGGACTTGAACTTGTGACTCTCCTGCCTCAGCTTCTTGGGTTGCTGGCATTACAAGCATGCCCCACTGAGCCCAACAAGATCTATATGCCAGAGCAGTCTGGCTGCAAAGTATTCAAGTAGTAGTTAGCTGAACCATAAGAGGTTTTGAGGTCAAGAAACTTGGAGACTAGATTGGTTATAATTTGTCTATTCTTGTGGACACAAGTCATCCATGTTGATGGTAGAAAAGGGACATTATGGGCTGGGGTTTTGGTTCAGAGGTAAAGCACTTGCCTACCATGCGTGAGGCACTGGGTTCTATCCTCAGCACCACATAAAAATAAAATAAAGATAATTTAAAAAAAAGAAAAGAAAAGGGACATTATAGGCATGTACCACCTTCTGAGTAGCTGGGATCATAGATATGCTTTTTTCAGAGTGCTAGAACATCAACAGTGTCCTGGAGATCTTGATAAATTACTCATTATAACTAGCACACACACACACACACACACGAAATACATATTTTCATGTTCATTTGATTTTTTTCATTTGATTTTTTAAAAATTCTTTATTATCTTCATTAGCAATAATTTACTTAAGTTTTCCCTAGACACAATTAAAAACTGTGTCTCTGTGTTATTGAGTTCCCATTGATGAACCTCCTCATTTATTAGCTTTTCTTTGAAACTGTAGATAAAATTGGTTCTTTTCTTACTCTAACAGTAGTTTTTCCCCCATAAAGAAAATTCGGTACATCAGTATATCAGGGCAATTGGTAAGCTTTGATGTCCTTTGTTACATGAGAAAGTATAATAGAAAGGTCTTAAATATCAAGTCTTCAAGGTTTTGGGGGTGGGGGTTACTGGACATTGAACCCAAGGTCTTGCCTACATGTTCTACCACTGAGATACATACCCAGCCCCCCTTTCTTTTATTTATTTATTTATTTAATAATTTTTTAGTTGTCAATGGACCTTTATTTTATTGATTTATATGTCCTGCGTGCCTCACACATGCTAGGCAAGTGCTCTACCACTGAGCCACTACTCCCGCCCCTCTCTTTTTTTATTTTTATTTTTATTTTTTTTTAAGAGAGAGAGAATTTTTTTAATATTTATTTTTTAATTTTCAGTGGACACAACATCTTTATTTTTACGTGGTGCTGAGGATCGAACCCAGCGCTCCGCGCGTGCCAGGTGAGCATGCTACCGCTTGAGCCACATCCCCAGCCCTTATTTTTATTTTTTTTAATTAATTTTGTCCCATAGTCTTACTAAGTTGTTCAGGCTGACCTCAAATTTGTAATCCTGTGTCAGCCTCCTGGGTAGCTGGGATTATAGTCATGCACCCCTGCATCCAATCAATCTTCAAGTTTTTAGTATTGAGAATTTCAAAGCTGCCTTACCATCACTACTTATGCCCTTTAACCAATTAAGGCAGGGAGGAGTCTGGTATGTTTATCTTGGGGAAATTTCTGAGAATTCTCTAGAAACTTTGGAGATTATCTAATACAACATACCTCTTAAATTAAAGTTATTATTTACTAAAGAACTCAGAAAGCAAGAAATTAAAGGACCTTGATCTAAATGAAGCCAAAAACAATATTTAGTATTTTATTAGGGGTTTCATCCCCCATCCTCACTTCTTTTTTGAGATTTCTCTAATAGAGAAAATTGGAATAAATAGCAAATTAAGTTTTTGAGGGGCTGGGGATGTGGCTCAAGTGGTAGCACGCTCGTCTGGCATGCGTGTGGCCCGGGTTCGATCCTCAGCACCACATACCAACAAAGATGTTGTGTCTGCCAATAACTAACTAAATAAATAAATATGTTTTAAAAAAAAAAGTTTTTGAGTAGTTTAGTGATGTTCTTTTATCAGTAGTAGAAGCAAATTAAAGTGGTTGGCCATTCTGGAACTACCCAGTCCCAGTATATGAGAGTGAGCCCCAAGATGCCATGAGATAGATGATCCAGGATTTCACAGAGAACAGTCAGTTGAGGGACTTGAAGAAGGCTGATCTTAGGCTGTAGCAGGACCAGTTGCATCTGCATAGTTTGGGTCAGAAATAGGGGTGCATATATTGGTTCAAACAGAAGTGACTTCATCCAAACTGGAAATTACCTGGCCTATTCTAAGCTCTTGTCAAAGAGTCAGGAATATTCATGGTGCTAGGGACCAGTTGTAAATTTCTACATACCAGACTCTAATGGTCTTATGTATAATTTGATGGAAAACTACAGGAAAAACTGATTAAGGTTACTCTGGGGCAGTCATGAGGTTATGAGTTAGGGTGGCTGCAGTCATGTCAGGCTGAATTCATACAGTCAGTAGCATGTCTGTGCTAGTCTTCATCATTTGAGAAATGGGCCTTTCAAATATGGAAGCTGCCTATTCCAGTAACCTTTTTTCCTGGCTTACCTAGTGATTAATCCAAGACATAAGCTCATAACTTAGACTGGGCTAATCAGAATCCATTACTAGGACTTTAAAATTGAAATAAGAATACTTTTCATTTCATTGAAATAAGAATACATTTCATTCTTTACTACAAATTTGAAAATTACCAACGTAGAAGCTGACAATAGAGAAGAAGATACTTGATTGTGTCTTAAGACCCTTTTTCTACTTTTCTCCAAGGTCAGCTCTGCTTGTTAGCCTAACAATGATTATTTTGTCTCTCTCTACCAGCCCTCAATTTTTATTTTATTTATTTTATTTATTTTTTTTTGTTTTTAGTGACGCAGCCACATCAATTTTTTTTTGCATTATAATTCTTAATACACATATATACCACAATTTTTGTATCTCTGTATATAAAGTATGTTGACACCCCAATTTTTTCTTTTTATATCTTAGCACATTAGGGCTGGGATTGTGACTCAGAGGTAGAGCGCTCGCCTAGCATGTGGAAGGCCCTGGGTTTGATCCTCAACACCACATAAAAATAAATAAATAAAATAACGGTATTGTGTCCAGCTACAACTAAAAAATAAATATTTTTTTAAAAAGTCTTAGCACAGTTATAATTGAACTGATATTTGAAATTTAGGCATTCCTATTTATACACTTAAGTAAGCAAGCAATAATCATGTGTAATTCTTACATTTAGGCAAATTTTAAAGAAATACTTATTCAGTGAAAAATAAGTTACCCTCTTGGAAGTGGTCATTATATCCTTTTTTCTTCCTTTTTTTTTTTTTTTTTTCTTTTTGCAGAACTGAGGACTGAACCCTGGATAACCATTTTCTTATGTTTCCTTCTAGGTATAGTTTGTTGTTGTTGTTCTTTATGGGATATATTCATAATTATTTATGTCTCCAGATACTGGGAAATGGATAGAATTATCTAAAAATTTGGAGCTTAGTAATAGGTAGAAACTAGGAAAGATCTGAGGTATGTGGTAGAAAGTCTAGGTTGCCTTGAAAAGACTTGATAGAAATATGGATATTTTATATTACAGAGGTGAGGATTCAGGAAGAAAAGAGGAAAGCTGTAGAGAAAGTGTCTCTCATCTTGGAGATAAGTCATGACCAGATGGTTGATAGAAATGTGAACATTAAAGGTGTTTCTTGTGAAGCCTCAGATGGAAATGAGGAATATGCTGGACACTGAAGGAAAGATGATTCTTGTTATAAAGTGACAACTTGGCTGAATTGTATTCTAGTGTTTTGTGGAAGGTAGAATTTGTAAGAGGTGAACTGGGATGCATACATGAGAATATTATTAAGCAAAATATTGAAGGCACAGTCTGGTTTTTCCTTGCTGCTTATAGTAAAGTTTAAGAGGAAAGATAAACTGGAAAAGGTTTTATTTATTTGTTTCCCTACTGTACTGAGGATTGAACCCAAGGGTATTCCATCATGGAGCTTTGTCTCTAGCCCTTTTTTATTTTGAGACAAGGTGTCAGTAAATTGCCTCAGATGACCTTGAATTTATGATCTTCTCCTTTAAGCCTCTGAAGTTGGTGGGATTACAGGCATGCACCACCACACCCAGCAAAAAAGGAATTGGTGGGCTTGGAGTGTGACTCAGTGGTGGAGCGCTTGCCTCGCATGTGTGAGGCACTGGGTTCAATCCTCAGCACCTCATAAAAATAAATAAAGGTATTGTGTCCATTTACAACTAAAAATTGTTTTTTAAAAAAGGATTTGGATCTAGGAGAAAGAATATTTATTGTAGTATTGGTAATGGGAAAAGGAAGGAAGGAAGGAAGAAGAAAAAAAAGAAAACAAGTTGAAATCCACCATCAATAAAGAAATGATGGAATTAAAAAAAATGGATTTGGTAAGGAAAAGGAAATGACATCTTGAAGATTTGGAAAATTCTTAGCTTATTCCTACTGTGAAAAATATGAAAGTGGGAGCTAGAGGTATTGTTCATGGTAGAGCACTTGTCAGGTATGTATGAATCCCTGGGTTTTATACCCAGTAACTCCCCCAACCCCCAACACACAGAGATCCATAAAGCATGTTATGGAGCAATTGTCAAGATTGTGCCTGAGGATTATGGCTTAGTGGTAGAGCACTTGCCTGCAGTGCGAGGCACTGGGTTTAATCCTCAGCACTACATTAAAAAAACACATAAAATAAAGGTATAGTATTCATCTATAACTAAAAATGCTTAAAAAAAAAAAAAGGATTGTGCCTGAACAACCATCTTTCAAGAGATTGGGGGTATACGACTTATAGATCCAGCAGTCATCTCATTGAAACTGGGAATAGCATAGAAATATGATTATCCATGAAAGATCTGCAGAGGACTCTTGTCTTTGGATTCCATGAACTGCATGGGAGACCAGTAGAGTTGTTGAAATGCTACCAATCTTAGACTCAAGGGGACAGTGATGAGATGAAAAAGAAAGACTATTGGACTTCTGAGATTGCAGAACAGACTAGTATAATTATCTAGCTACAAACATTGTTGTCTTTTTATTAAAAGGGAAAAATGACACCAAGGGTGTCTCAGAGGTTGTCAAGGCTACCTACACTATCACAACAGCTCAGAAGGAACTATTCCTAGAATGCTGGGGCCAGTCTCCTCCTCTGATGGTTCCAGAGAAGTTAGGGCTACTCCTGTTCAATCTAGTAAGAGAGAGTTGAATAATCAAGCTAAATATTGAATATTGCTTTTAGCACAACTAATTAAAACTTAAGATATTCTAAGTAATTAAAAGAAAAAAGCAATTCAAGGCTGGGGCTAGGGCTCAGTGATAGATAATATGCTAGTCTGGCATGTGTGAGGCATTCATTGGTTCGATCCTCAGCACCACATAAAAATAAATAAAATAAAGGTATTATGTTCATCTACAACTGAAAAAAAAAAGATAAAAACAATTCAGATAATTTGGCAGCTAATAGTAATTCTATTTGGAGAATGTTAGTAAATATATGACAAACAATGTATAAGATAAAATCACAAAGTTTTTTGAATCTTGACTGTAAAATGTAGAGAAAATGCAAAGTTGAAGTCAAGCCATTGATGTTTCAGTCTCTCAAATTCATTTGGAGACAGTTATGCATTAAATTCAAGTTAACCTTAATTTGAAGTCAAGCCATTGATGTTTCAGTTTCTCTCTCTTTTTTTTTTCTTTCAGTTTCTCAAATTTATTTGGAGACAGGTATTAAATTCAAGTTAACCTTAATATGTATAGAAAATTGCCACTAAAGAAGAGTTGCAAAATTCTAGAGATTTTGTGTGTGTGTGTGTGTGTGTATGTGTGTGTATACACAATACCTTTTATTTATGTGGTGCTGAGGATCAAACCCAGGGTCTCTTTCACACATGCAAGACAAGTGCTCACTGCTGAGCCACAACCCCAGCCTGGGAAATTTTTTAATGTATTGAATCAACTATTAGTTTTTATAAATTTTTTTATAAAATATTGATAAAAGAACTATCAGGTTTGTTCACAGGTTTGCCTTTGTTTAAATTAATAAACTACAACTCAAAGTTCTCCTGTCTAGTCTATTTGGAAAGTAAATTGTTGGTGCTGGAATAGTTTTGTCAATAGACATTTCAGAACATGCAAAGCAGAAAGTCACCAGCTGATAAGATATTTAGCAGTTGTCAAAACAAGACCAATCTTGTCTGTTCTCTTCTACTTCCACCCACCCCAACTGAGTTACTTTTAAGCAAATCTTAAGTTTATAAATTTCCCCATAAATGTGTTTTTATGGGTATCATTGTAAAAAAAGTATGTGTCTTTTATTTTTGGCAGGTCATTTTGACAATTAGATCATGGCAACCATAGAAGAAATTGCACATCAGATTATTGAACAACAGATGGGAGAGGTACGTCTAGGTAACAGTTCATTGACTGACTCATCAAACTTTTATTATTTATGCTAAATGTATATGAAGGTACAAAGATGAATTATACCCCCAACTTTAAGATAGCTTTTCAGTCTTGTGAGAGTTAGTTGAATAATCAGTCAAAATATAGTATAAGAATATGATAGATACCTGTGTAGTGTGCTGGAGAGCACAAAAGAAAAACAACTAATGGAGAGTGTAGAGTTGGTGAGGACCTACCCAGGGGATGCATTTTGGAGGGTGCAAAATCTGAGGTCAGTCTTGATGGACCTGTAAGAATTATTCTATGTCAGTATAGACAGTATAGATGACTTTTTTTTTTTCCTTGTACTGGGAAGGAATTGAATCCAGGAATGCTCTGCCACTGAGCTGTATCTCCACCCTCTTTTATTTTTTAAATTTTGGGACAGAGTCTTACTAAGTTGCACAGGCTGGCCTTTAACTTGTAGTTCTCCTGCCTCACCCTGCTGAGTAGCTGGGATTACAGGCATGTACCACCACACCTGGCTACAAATTTATTTTTAAATGGTTTTATCCTATTCTTTAGCAAAAGGTACCTATTAAATGATGTATTTTGTGGCGGTTATTTTGGCTCATTATTCCCACAGTCAAATATGGGTTTGTTTTTTTTAATTCTAATTTGTTATATATGACAGCAGAATGCAATTCAGTTTATATTACACAAATAGAGCACAATTTTTCATGTCTCTGGTTGTATACAAGGTAGAGTCACAACATTCATGTTTTCATACATGTACTTTGGGTAATGATGTCGAACTCATTACCCTATCTTTTCTACCCCCATGCCCCCTCCTCCTTTTTTCCCCTTTACCCTATCTAAAGTTTTGTTGTTGTTTTTGTTGTTGTTTTGCGTGTATGCGGTGCTGGGGATTGCCTTGTGCATATGAGGCAAGCACTCTACCAACTGAGCTATATCCCCAGCCCTCTAATGTTGTTTTTTAAGTAACAAGAATAATATTAGCATTTCAGACCTCAGAAACATGCTTCAGAAAGCAGTCTCTAACTTACTCTTACCCCCGCCCTGACCCCTTCACTACTCATGTCCTCCCTTTAGGAGGGAAATCAACCTGCTAACCCGAGGTACCCAAGAAAACCCAGTCTCAGTCTAAGCCTATAAGATGAGTCAGGGTAATTTATTTTGTCCCCAATTAACATAAAATCCAAAAATAACCAAGTTATAGCCAACTGTGATAACACTTATCTTTAATAATACCTAGTTTAAGGTTTTAAAATTTAAGGGTAGATTGTGTTAGAAAGATAAAGTAAATATATCCATAATTCCACAAAAATTACACCATAACCATATTTCAGTACGGTATAATACTGGTGGCATTGGTAAGATTCAATGTCCTTATATAAATTTTTTAATATTGATAATGAAATTGATTAAAAATTAAGTTGAAGCCTCCTTAGGATATCCTACCTGTAAAAAATGACTGGCCTGAGGAGATATTAAATCTAATCAGTTGATTTTTATAAATTGATCAACGCAAGTTCATTACAAGGTACAAATAATAATTGACTAGTACAAAAATTTAAATGTTTATAATGACATAAGACAAATTAGTTTCTTTTTATTTCTCCCGACCCCACACTGGCTTCTCCATATTATAGATGTATTTTTGTTAATACTAGTGCTATATCTGTTCTACGAATGCTGCAACGTACGCAGATACCCTGACAGATAATGATTGTTTTGCTATAAGGGATCCATGTTCAGAAATTGGAGAATGGCCTGTGGTAGGATATGTTTTTAGGTTTTATTCAGAGTACATGGCTCATTACTCCCATGGGTTTTGTAACACTTTAGGCTTCATGTAAGCCTCAGAAAACAAAGTCTCATTCTGTGACTTTCTTCTACCCTCCTTTTGCCTACTCTTTTTTTTGTTTTTTTTATTCCCCAATGCAAGCCATAGAAATAAATCTGTTTTGCAGCTGGCATAAAAAAAAAGTTTCCTGATGTCAAGACCCTAATTACAGAAGGGGTCCTGCACCATACCCCCAAGAAAAGAATGCTCTTTTGAAAACCCAAAAACCTTGCTGGGTTTCCCCACTCATTCTGTTAGTATTAGATAATACCCTTTTTGTCCAATCATATTTTGACATGATTATGTCATGCTTGTACAATGAAGTCTCTATAAAACTCCAAAAGATAGAACTGGGGTTGTGGCTCAGTGGTAGAACACTCGTCTGGCATGTGTGAGACACTGGTCCATCCTCAGCACCACATAAAAATAAATAAATAAAATTAAGGTATTGTATCCATCTACAACTAAAAAAAAAGTTGTTGGTTTTTTTTTTTTTTTTTTTTAAATAAAGAAAAGCTTAACATATAGAGCCTCACAAAATGGCAAACAAAAACTCAACTTCACATGCCAGAAGAATGTTTCATCCCAGCTCTATGGGGACAAAAGCTCCTTCATTCAGGACCTTTCTATACTTCACCTTTTGTATCTCTTTCTTATTCCTGTCCTCTAAAACATTCTTTATGATAAACTGATAAACATGTTTCCCTGAGTTTTACAAGCTGTTGTACAAATTAATCAAACCTAAAGAGGTTATAAAAACCCAAACTTATACTCCCTGCCAGAAATTACAGAGGATGCCCAGACATGAGGTTTTCAAGTTCAAGGCCAACCTGGATAACTTGGTGAGAAATAAAACTTTTGTCTCAAAAAAAGAGGTTTCTTTTGGAGCGGGGGTGGGGTGGAGTGGGGTGGAGAGCTTGGGTTGTAACTCATTGATAGAGCACTTGCCTAGCATGAGGCCTTGGAATCAATGCCCAGTACTAGAGGGGGAAGAGTACCTAGACTTCTAACTAGATCTAAAATGGGAATAGTGTTAGATGAAGACTGAAGCCTCAACCTGTGGGATCTAACCCTATTTCAGGGTAGATTGTGTTAGAATTAAAATAAATTAGAAGACCCCCAGTTGATGTCTACTGCAAAACTGCCTACTTGCTAGTGGGGAAAAATCCTCTCATCTTTTCAGGTCACAAGTCTTCTATGTTGATAGTGATATAAGAATTTTTCAAAAATCCCTCAAATACTGCTTTTCCTAGACACACAGTACCATCATCCAGATGTTCTCAAAGTATCATCTAGGGACCTTTTCACAAAGGCAGCAGGGTCAAAACTGTTCTCATAATAGTACTAAAATATTATTTATCTTATCTTTATTGTTCTTTCACAAATATACAGTAGAAGTTTTTAGAAGCTACATGATGTGATAGTATCCTGTGATGAAATGTGTCAACATTTGTAATATGTATATTATTCACTGAACCAGTGTTTTGCAAGTGAACAATGCAATGCATAATGTTACAAAATCGTGCATGCATAAAGGATCCATTCAAATTGTAGAATAGACCAGTGGATTTTACGATATTACAGTGAACCTCTGAGAAGTCAGCCCTTGTCAGGTTTTGGTGTTATATCAAAGAACAGGTTCCAGGCTGGAATTGTAGCTAAATGGTAGAGTCCTTGCCTCTATGAGACACTGGGTTTGATCCTCAGCATCACATAAAAATAAATAAAAAATAGTTTAAAAAAAAAAAAAAAAACTTTAAACAAACAGAAAAACAGTATCCACAGTTTGAGAAGGCTATAAAAATACCATGCTCCACTTATATACTGAATGTAAGACTGTGCTTGCTTTATATATTTAATCCAAACAACATATTTCAACAGACTGAATGAAGAGGCAGACATGAAATTCCAAGTTCTACTAACCAGACATAAAGAATTTGCAAAACGGGGCTGGGGATGTGGCTCAAGCGGTAGCGCGCTGGCCTGGCGTGCGTGCAGCCCGGGTTGGATCCTCAGCACCACATACAAACAAAGATGTTGTGTCCGCTGAAAACTAAAAAAAATAAATATATAAAAAAAAATTAAAAAAAAAAAGAATTTGCAAAAAATGTAAAATAGTGCTATTCTCTCTGTTAAATACTGTTTGGAATATAAACTTATTTTTCATAAAAATCTGAGCTGTTGCCCAGATCTCACCTTATCTTGCTTTGTTTTTCTTCATAGTAATACCTACAATATTATTATTTTTTTATATCTTTTTACACTGAAGTAAAAGCTTTATGAGGGCAGAGATTTTTGTTTCATTCCCTGCTATATCCCCCCAGAATTCAGAACAACAAATGTATGGTTGTCTAAATTAAGGTGGGAAAGAAGAGGGAAAAAGGAATCAATATAAGGTCAAATAATTTACTGTCATACCAAAACAATAAGGTCAAATGATTTACTATCATACCTTTATCTGTTTGTTTCCATAGGGTAAAATGGAAGTAGAATTGCTAGTTTAAAAGGTTTATAGTGGTAGCTTTTCTAGCTTTGAGAATATAAGAAAATTGTATCACTAAGAAAAACAAAATATTATGCTGAATCGATTATTAATTTAACCTGATTGTGTTAGATTGTTACAGAGCAGCAAACTGGGCAAAAAATCCAGATTGTGACAGCACTTGATCATAATACACAAGGCAAGCAGTTCATTCTGACAAATCACGATAGTTCTACTCCAAGCAAGGTCATTCTGGCCAGACAAGATTCCACTCCAGGAAAAGTTTTCCTCACAACTCCAGATGCAGCTGGTGTTAACCAGTTATTTTTTACAACTCCTGATCTGTCTGCACCACATCTCCAGGTAAATAACTGTAGAAGTATCTCCCTTTTACACTTATAAAAAGTTAAAAAGCTTAAATTAAAGTCCTGCCATAAAGACTTCAAATATATGCATATTATGTAGAGTATAATATTGTGTAAATTGTGTTCGGAGTGTCTGTGGTGACTGCTTTTTCCTGTGGGCCATTGTACTTTCACTCATAACCCTCCCTCACACCCAGATATTTTGGGCAGTTCTTAGTTATATCCAGAAGATCCATTCTAGCTAGTTTGGCTAGGGAGCAATTTAATAATGAATACAGTTCTAGGTCAGGTTTCTAAGAATAACTATTAGAGCATGCTACAAAATTTGGTTCTGAGAGTCCCCTCCAACTTCTGAGGTTCAAAGTAGACACTGTCAAATTCAGAAACAACTTTTATAGCTGTGGTGTCTGGAACCAGGCTTCTGTGGTACTCATAGCAAGCTGCCAGATCAAGAACTAGGAAGTGTTGCTGCTGGTTTCAGCATTGTTCCTACTTTCTTGTCAACCACACCTTCATTGACATAACAAGCAGTCCATGAATTGTCTGCTTTTACTCTCACACCTTTATCTGTTTGTTTCTATAGAGGATAGAATATCACAGAAGTAGAATTGATAGTTTAAAAGGTTTATAGTGGTGGCTTTAACTTTGACGATTTCTTACTTGTTTTTGATGGCCTTGACAGTTTTGAGGTGGGTATAGTTTTGTGTGGAAAAGATCATGGGAGTTAAATGCCAGTTCATCATTTATCAAAAGTACTTACTGCTGGGAGCGGTGGCACATGCCTATAATCCCAGCAGCTCAGGAGGCTGAGGCAGGAGGATCTTGAGTTCAAAACCAGACTTGGCAACTCATTGAGGCCCTAAGCAACTCAGTGAGACCCTGTCTCTAAATAAAACGTAAAAAAGGGCTGGGGATGTGGCTCAATGGGTAAGCACACTGAGTTCAATCCCCAGTACCAAAAAAAAAAAAGTATTTGTTGTCAATGTAATATGGATGGTGAGGTAAATTTGATCACCTGGCTGAAGTGCTGTTATGTCATGTTTCTTCATTGTAAAGTTACTGCTTTTTAAAAAAAAAATTGGGCTTGGGGATGTGGCTCAAGCGGTAGGGCGCTGGCCTGGCATGCGTGCGGACAGGGTTCAATCCTCAGCACCACATACAAACAAAGATGTTGTGTCCGCCGAAAACTAAAAAAAATAAATATTAAAAATTTTTAAAAATCTCTATTTTTAAAATAAAGATCATATTGGAACTTGCCTACTTTATGGATTCTCTCTGAGGAAAATAAAAGAGAAACAGATATAGGTTGCAGTTCCCCTAGACTGAGAAGATTTGATTCAAATATGAGCAGTCCTTTTGACTTCTTTGTATTAAAAATAATAGCCTCTAAAAATAAGCACCATTTGTGATCAGTATGCCATTAAGGAAGTGTGATACTTGTCATAGGTCCTTTCAGAGGACATCTACTATCAGAAATTTTTGTTCACTTGTTATTACTTTTTTCTTTTTCTTTGATGGGGTCTCACTGTGTTGCTTAAGCGGGCCTCCAGCTCCTGATCCTTCTGTCTCAGCCTTCTTAGTAGCTGGCATCACAAGCATACACCACCATGCTTGGTGTTGAATTTTTTAAAGTACTTATTAAAGACTGATTTTTGAGGTGATATAGAAAGAAATAATACCTTATATTACATAGTAAGGGACAGTCATTTTAAGAATCATTTAAAGTTTAAAGTTTACCATTTAAAGTTTTTTTATCCTCCATTTAAAGTTGTCAAAATGAAAATTATTCATGAAGACATTCACACTCCTAAATGGAGAGAAAAAGGTGGGGATTACAGGGGTTTTCAAGTAGCAAGAGAAAGTGTTTAAATGCTATATCATTGTTTTGGGACCACATTGATGATTTGTTAGTATTTCAAAACTTTGGAAAAAAAAAATATGAAAGTTGGAAGATAACCCTAAAACAGAAGAAACTATTGTTCCTTTGCTAGCTTCACATTCCTCCTGTTTACTGATGAGCTCTTTATATAATTTAAAAGGCCTGGTAATTTGCCCAAGACCATCCCACCGAATTTCACTTCTAGTCAGTTAGGAGCTACTGTTCATCAGACCAGAGCCCATGATCTCAACCTGCACATGTCCCCAGTCATACCTCATTAGTACAAAGTCTGAATTTTGTATGTTGATCATATTTTCAAAGTTATGATTAATTATATCATCAAAATTTATTTATAATAACCCATTTCCCCTCAAAAAGTTCAGGACTTTTTATGCTCTTAAAAGTTTTTGTCAGGCCATTCCATATGGAAAGTTTCTAAGCTCTTTTTTTTTTTTTTTTAAGAGAGGGAGAGAGAGAATTTTAACATTTATTTTTTAGTATTTGGCGGACACAACATCTTTGTATGTGGTGCTGAGGATCGAACCCGGGTCACACGCATGCCAGGCGAGCGTGCTATCGCTTGAGCCATATCCCCAGCCCAGTTTCTAAGCTCTTCAAAGACATGTCATGGGGGCTGGAATTTTGGCTTAGTGGTAGAGAGCTTGCCTAGCATGTGTGAGGCACTGGGTTTGATTCTCAGCACCACATACAAATAAAATAAAGGTCCATTGACAACTAAAAAATATTAAAACAAAACAAACAAAAAAGACATGTCATGATAGGATTAGTAACTGCTGCAATGATTTTTTTGTTTTTCTGTTGTGTTGTTCTTAGTTACACATGACAGTAGAATGTATTTTGACATACTGTATGTACATATATATACATGGAGTATAACTTCCCATTCTTGTGGTTGTACAGAATATGGAGTCACCCTGGTCGTATATTCATTTATGAACATAGGAAAGTTATGTCCAGTTTCATTCTACTGTCCTTACTCTTCTCACTCACCCCTGCTTCCCTTCATTTTCCTTTGTCTAATCCAAAGAATTTATGTCCCTCCCCCACCCCCATTGTGTGTTAGCATCTGCATATCAGAGAGAACATTCAGCCTTTGGTTTTTTGGGATTGGCTTATTTCACTTAGCATGATAGTCTCCAGTTCCATCCATTTGCCAGCAAATGCCAGAATTCCATTCTTCTTTATAACTGAGTAATATTATATTGTGTATATTTACCACTTTTTTTTTTTTAATCCATTTATATGTTGAAGAGCACATAGGTTAGTTCCATAGCTTAGCTGTCATGGATTGAGCTGCTATAAACATTTATGTCTGCCATAATAATTTGACATTCTATATGAATAATATTAGTACCCCATCTCTCACCCTGCACAAAACTCAGCTCAAAGTGGACCGAGGACCTAGGCATTAGTCCAGAGACCCTGCACCTACTAGAAGAAGTGGTAGGCCCAAATCTCCATCATGATGGCTTAGGAACCAAATTCCTCAATAAGACTCCTAAAGCACAAGAAGTAAAATCAAGAATCAATAAATGGGATTGTATCAAACTAAAAAGCTTCTTCACAGTAAAGGGAAATAATCAAGAACATGAAGAGAGAGCCTGAAGAATGGGAAAAAAATCTTATGCACTTGCACCTCAGAGCATTACTCTCCAGGATATATAAAGAACTCAAAAAACTTAACACCAAAAAGCAAACAACCCAATCAATAAGTGGGCAAAGGCTGGGACTGGGAATGTGGCTCAGAGGTAGAGTGCCCGCCTAGCACGGGTGGGACCTGGGTTCCGTTCTCAGCACCACATAAAAATAAAGGCATTGTGTTGTGTCCATCTATACCCCTCCCTCCCTCCCTCCCTCCCTCTCTCTCCCCCACTTTATTTTTTATTTTTTTTAGAGAGGGAATTTTTTTTTTTAATTTTTTTTTTTTTTAGTTTTCGGCGGACACAATATCTTTGTTTGTATGTGGTGTTGAGGATCGAACTCGGGCCGCACACATGCCAGGCGAGCGCGCTACCGCTTGAGCCACATCCCCAGCCCTCTCCCCCACTTTAAAAAAATTTTTTTAGGGGCTGGGATTGTGGCTCAGTGGTAGAATGTTCGCCTAACATGTGTGAGGCCGTGGGTTTGATCCTCAGCACCACATTAAAAGTAAACAAATAAAATAAAGATATTGTGTCCAACGACAACTAAAAACATAATTTAAAAAAAAATTTTAAAGATAATTAAAAATAAAAAATAAATGGGCAAAGGAACTGAACGGACACTTCACAGAAGAAGAAATACAGATGGTCAAGAAATATATGAAAAAATATTCAACGTCATTAGCAATTAGAGAAATGAAAATTAAAACTACACTGAGAATTTATCTCCAGTCAAAATCACAGTTATTGGGCTGGGGATATTGCTCAGTTGGTAGAGTGCTTGCCTCACATGCACAAGGCCATGAGTTCAATCCCCAGTACCACAAAAAAAAAAAAAAATCACAGTTATCAAGAATACAAGTTACAATAAATGTTGGTGTGGATGTGGGGAAAAAGTGCACTCATACCTTACTACTGGGACTGCAAATTTATAAAACTACTCTGTAAAGCAGTATAGAGAGTCCTCAGAAAACCTGGAACGGAACCATCATTTGACCTAGTTATCCCACTCCTCAGCATATGCCGAAAGGACTAAAATCAGCATACTACAGTGACACAGCCATGTCAATATTCATAGCAGCTCAGTTCACAATAGCTAAGTTATAGAACCAACCTAGGTGCCTTCAATAGAAGAACTGATAAAGAAAATGTCGTATGTACACACAACGGAATATTACTCAGTCATACAGAATGAAATTATGGCATTTGCCATTGAATGGATGGAACTGGAGGCTATCATGTTAAAGTGAAATAAACCAGTCCCAAAAAACCAAAGGTCAGTGTTAACTCACAATGGGGAAGGATCACATTGGGAGGGTGTGGAGGGAGAAGTGGAGGTTCACAGGATTGGGACTAGATAGAGGAAGGGTGTGGAGATGGGGATGGGAAAGATAGTGGAAAGAATTGGATGTAACTTTTCTATGTTCATGTATGAATATATGATCAGTGTAATTCTACATCCTGTACAACCACAGAATGGAAAGTTGTCCTCGACGTATGTAAGATATATCAAAGTACATTCAAGCCAAGTGCAGTGGCACACACCTGTAATCTCAGTGGATCAGGAGACTGAGACAGGAGAATCACTAGTTCAAAGCCAGCCTCCGCAGAAGCAAGGTGCTAAGCAACTCAGTGAGACCCTGTCTCTAAATAAAATACAAAATAGGGCTGGGAATGTGGTTCAGTTCAGTGCCCTTGAGTTCAATCCCAAATACCCAAACCAAAAAAAAAAAAAAATCTATTGTCATGTATAACTAAAAAGAACAAATAAAAATAACTTTGAAATAGTATGTTTATGGTTAAAATGCATTTAGAAAAAAAATGTATGTAGCTGGGTATAGAGGTATATACCTGGAATCTCTGGTACTCAGGAGTTTGAGACAGAAGGGTCTCAAGCTCAAGGTTAGCCTGGGCAACATAGTAAAACCCTTGTCTCAAAACAAGAAAACCAACATCAAAAAGATATTAATGTAATTGTGTGTTGAATTTGATTTTTTAATGGAGTTGTTATGGAACACATTGAAAAGATATTCTTGCTGTCCTTGTTTTTTATAATAGTTGAAATTTTCACCTATATATAAGACGAGTTTAATTGATTTGAGTTCACAGTTTAAGATTAACTTAAGATAAAGTAAAAAGACTGAATATTCTTTAATTTTTTTTAACAGAATGAGATTGTTACCGAGTAATAACATTTTTCTTTTCTCTCTTTTTTTAAGCTCTTAACAGATAATTCTTCCCCAGACCAGGGACCAAATAAGGTTTTTGATCTTTGTGTAGTATGTGGAGACAAAGCTTCAGGTAACATTAAAAATTACCTATATGTATTGTTTTGTTAAAATACATACTATCTTCTAAAAATAAAAACAAAAATAGTTCTGGGTATGTGACCCAGTGTTACAGTGCTTGCCTAGCATGTGTGAGGCCCTGAATTCATCCCCAGCACTGCAAAAAAGAAAAAGAAATGTGTCATTTTTATAGTGACATATGACTTTATGTGATTATTCCCCCACTATTGGTGATTGAACCTAGGGTTTCCCACATACCAGACGAACACTCTACCACTGAGTTACATCCTCAGTCCTTTTTAAATTTTATTTTGAGACAGAGTCTCACAGAGTTGCCAAGGCTGGCTTTAAACTTGTGATCCTCCTCTCTCAGCCTCTCGGGTAGCTGGTATTATAGGTATGCACCACTGCACCCTGCTCAAAATGTAGCTAATTTTTCCCCAGAGCTTTTCTTTCACCTTCTACTTCAGTGCAGTTTGATTTGTAGTGATATCAAATGATTATTTCAATGAATCATGGAAAGTTTCACTTTAAGTGTACACGTAGACATTTTTGAAAGTTAAAATTGGAGGATTTGTCAAAGGAATCACTTTATTATTTTTTGTCAGTGTATTATTTTAAAATAAGATGTGATTTTTAGTAATATATTACGTCAGTTGTCAACTTCTGGGAATACAAAGTAATTTGAATTATTGAAGTGAAAAAAGTTTTGGGGAATCTTTATTCGGTGTTCTGTGTAACTGAGAAGATTGTTCTCAAAGCTTATTACTGGTACTTGGAGTTAAGTCACTTTCATTCTGATCATTATTATTTCATGCCAGAAATATACTCATATCTGCTCATACATATTCACAGATGCCAGTGGTATACAATTCAAGAGTTTTAAGTTTGTTACTCTTTTCTAAAACTTCTTTATGAAAATCTCCATTAGAACTTTTCCCAGAGTATGTTCAGTTTGTTAGTAAGTATGCAAAAGAAATTATCACGGGATAATCAAAATGTAACAGATTTCTTCAGAAATTTCAAAAGTGAAACTTATGAGTAGAGATGATTATATTTCAAATACTAGACTACATTTCATCTTCCTTTCTGGTGTATATTGTATTCAGATTAAAGTATATAATAAAATAGTTAATTAAGTGATCTTATAAATGAAAACTTTCGGGTTGGGGATGTGGCTCAGCGGTAGAGCACTTGCCTAGCATGTTCAGGCCCTGGGTTCTATCCTCAGCACCACATAAAAAATAATAAAGGTATTTTGTCCAACTACAACTAAAAAATAAATATTAAAAAAAAAAAAGAAAAACTTTGTATGTTAGAAAAGGGGATTATGTTTTGAGTCACACCCCCCCCCCCATATCAAAGAAGACATTCGGCATTTGTTTTTTAGGGATTGGCTAACTTCACTTAGCATAATCTGCTCTAATGCCATCTATTTCCTTGCAAATGCCATGATTTTGTTATTTTTTAGTGCTGAGTAATATTCCATTGTGTATAAATGCCACATTTTTTTTTTTATCTATTCATCTATTGAAGGGCATCTAGGTTGGTTCCACAGTCTAGCTATTGTGAATTGTGCTACTATGAACATTGATTAGCTGTGTCCCTGTAGTATGCTCTTTCTAGGTCTTTTGGGTATAGTCCGAGAAGGGGAATAGCTGGGTCAAATGGTGGTTCCATTCCCAGCTTTCAGAGAAATCTCCATACTGCTTTCCAAATTGGCTGCACCAATTTGCAGTCCCACCAGCAATGTACAAGTGTACCTTTTTCCCCACATCCTCGCCAGCACTTGTTATTGTTTGACTTCATAATGGCTGCCATTCTTACTGGAGGGAGATGGTATCTTAGAGTGGTTTTAATTTGCATTTCTCTGATTGCTAGAGATGGTGAGCATTTTTTCGTGTAATTGCTGATTGATTTTATATCCTCCTCTGAGAAGTGTCTGTTCAGATCCTTGGCCCATTTGTTGATTGGGTTATTTGTTTTCTTGTTGTTTAATTTTTGAGTTCTTTGTATACTCTGGAGATTAGAGCTCTATCTGAAGTGTGAGGGGTAAAAATTTGTTCCTAGGATGTAGGCTCCCTATTTACCTCACTTATTATTTCTCTTGCTGAGAAAAAACTTTTTAGTTTGAATACGTCCCATTTGTTGATTCTTGATTTTAACTCTTGTGCTATAGGTGTCCTATTAAGGAATTTAAAGAAGATTACCACTAAACAGGGAAGAGAGGTGGGAGGGAATGGGAGAACGGAATTGCATGGAAAATGGAAGGAGACCCTCATCACTATATAAAATTACATATATGATGGTGTGAGGAGGAAGAAAAAAAAGAGAAATGTGTCACAGTAGATTGGGTAGAGGGAGGGGAGGGGAGGGGAGGGGGGATAGGGAGGGCAGCACAATACAACAGACACTAGTATTGCTGTACATATAAACGTGGCTGTATAACCAATGTGATCCTGCAATCTGTACACGTGGAAAAATAAGAATTTATACCCCATTTGAATCAAATGTATGATATGTCAAGATCATTGTATTGTCTTGAGCAACTAATAAAAAAAAAAAAGAAAAGGGGATTATAGATGATTGCTCTTTCCCAAATTTTCTTTAACATTGTTGAGCTTACATTATAAAATTAAAATTTTCATATTTTTTATAATTTATCACAAAGTATAATTATTTCATTCTGTTTAATAGTTCCTAAAAAAAGTTTTGCATGTCAGAATCAATAATCTTAGTTTTATCAAATTTATTATTTAAAAGGAAGAAATGCGTTTATTTCATTTCTGTTCTTAAAATATGTGACTTTTATGTTGTCTTAACATTTTATCTCTAGGGCGTCATTATGGAGCAGTAACTTGTGAAGGCTGCAAAGGATTTTTTAAAAGAAGCATCCGAAAAAACTTAGTATATTCATGTCGAGGATCAAAGGACTGTATTATCAATAAACACCATCGAAACCGCTGTCAATACTGCAGGTTACAGAGATGTATTGCGTTTGGAATGAAACAAGACTGTATGTATTAGCTTTAAAGGAGAAAATACTTTTAAGAATTCCAGGAAACTAGAATTATATTCAAATTAACACATTAAAAATGTCAAATATATATACCTTTTCATTTCAGTTTTCCAACTCGGAATATAAGAATATGTACATATGTGTATTATTCAACAAACATTTTTTGACTGTTAATATATCTAGTATATATTTGTAATTTGAAGTTGGCACCCAAAAAAATATGACTAACTAGATTCGAGTTTACTTTTTTTTTTCCCCCTAACAGTGCCTGGGGATCAGACCCAAAACCTCACATGTGCTAGGCAAGCACTTTACCTCTCTAAGCTATAAACCCCAGTTTGCTTTTTGATTAAACTACTAAAAAGTGACTTAATAAGATAATGATAATGGCTAATAAAAGCTCTCAGAATACAAATACTACACTTAGCATATATATTAATTTCCTCTCAGGGCAGTTCTCTACAGAAGATACTATTGTTATCCATTTTACATTTTACTAGACAGATGTTGAAAAACTTATCCAAGGTATACAACTAATAAGGAGCACAACTTGGCTTTGAATGCTGGCAATTGTTTTTTAATTTTTTTGAATGCTGGCAATTTGTCTGCCAGAAAATGTACAGTTTACAACCATACTACTTTATCTAGTAAGTAATATGAAATAAAATTCTTATAAGTACTATGTATACCTACGTGAATTTAATATATGTTACAGTATATATATTATAAATAAAGACCAGACAGTTGAAATATTTGTAAAAAAAAAAAAAAAAGTCTCCTTGCCCTTAGCTTAAAAAAGATCCATCTTAGACTTTTCTGTGTTTATTAGTATAATTTTTAATTGGTCACATTTTATTTCATTTTTTTGTTTAAACTCATAGATACATGAGGGATTCATAACTTTGTGTCAGTGAGCTTTTAAAAAATAAAAATTCCTCCGTATTTCTACCACAGGAGTGGAGGAGAGACAGGAAACTGAGAGATGCAACTGGTTTATTTTACAAATATGAAGCAATTTTTAAAAATTTGCTTGTATTTTAAGTATTGATGGTTATCTGTCGAATTCAGTGTAGTGGCCTTGTCTTCCATTATTAGCAGGATTGTTGACCTAGAGCTTACATTTATAGTAGGCATGAATTCTGTATTATGATATAATCAATCCGTTTTTATAGCTGTTCAGTGTGAAAGAAAACCCATTGAAGTATCCCGAGAAAAATCTTCTAACTGTGCTGCTTCAACAGAGAAAATCTATATCCGAAAAGACCTTCGAAGCCCATTAGCTGCAACTCCAACTTTTGTAACAGATAGTGAAACTGCAAGGTATAGTAAAACAAACATTAAGTAGTTAGTTTTTTTGTTTTTCCCAGTGATACTGAGACATAAACTTATTTGTTACAGGTCAACAGGACTGTTGGATTCAGGAATGTTTGTGAATATTCATCAGTCTGGAATAAAAACTGAGTCAACTGTGCTGATGACACCAGATAAGGTGTGTTTAGGGCAATTTAAAGCTAAATTTTTAAAATATAATAATTCCTTTAAGAAAGGAAGAGAACTAACTTTTGTTTAATTACTATCTGCCCAGACACTGTGCTTTACTATTTGTCTTTGTATTAAGTGGTTATAACAATGTTGTATATTAAGTTTCTCTTACAAACAGGCCCAAAGGACTCAGATTGTAACTGAGAAGAGAGTATGCTATGCCCAGGCTTCAATCACCAGCACAAAAACTTGAGAATCTAGCTGTATAAGTTGTTTCATGGAAAGAGAATACATGTGTCTTTAAGTTTTAGCTGAAAATTATAATACTTAAAAGTTACAACTGTTTACTCATATATAAGAAGGCTGTTTGGAGCAGTGGCTGCAAGCATGGAGTACAGTCATATAGACTTGACTTCCTGTCCCGCCTCTGCTTTTTACTGCCTGATTTTAAAGGATCATTCTTTTGTTGATGATAGAGGGATGGTGATTCCTGTCTGACAGGGTTGTTATGAAGATTAAGTAAAATACACATGGAAGTAGTAGTCATGTAATTGATATTTATTAAATAATTACCTGCCTACTGATTAATTTGAGGAGAGCACAGAAATTGTTTGTTTTGCTATACGTTCACCAAAATCAACTTCATTCACATAGAGAATCAATAGAACAAATGAAACAACAGAAACACAGTTATTATTTTAGGATTAAGAACAGTATGAGGGGCCTGGGGTTGTGGCTCAGTGGTAGAGCGCTTGCTTCACATGTGTGAGATCCTGGGTTTGATCCTCAGCACCACATAAAAATAAATCAGTGAAATAAAGGCATGTGTCCAACTAAAATATAAATATTTAAAAAAAAAAAAAAAGAACAGTATGAGGGGCTGGGATTGTAGCTCACCTACCGTGTGTGAGGCCCTGAGTTCCATCCACAGCACCACATAAAAATAAATAAATAAAATAAAGATATTGTGTCCAACTACAACTAAAAAATAAATATTAAAAACAGTATGAATAAAAACCATAAAGCAAAGTACTAATTGAAAAAATATTATTAAAGGATCTTGCCAGTAGGCCATAGAAGGAGGTTTGGAAGTCCTCTCATTAGGTTTGATGGGATAATTTGAGCATTAAAGAAAGAATGTAACAAGAGGCTGGGGTTGTGGTTCAGCGGTAGAGTGCTCATCTAGCATGTGCGAGGCACTGGGTTTGATCCTCAGCACCACACAAAAATAAATAAAAAGGTATTATGTTCAACTACAACTAATAGATTTTTTTAAAAAATAATGTAACAAATTCAGATATCTAAAAATGTATTAATTGAAAATGATACGCAGGGGCTGGGGTCGTGGCTCAGTGGTAGAGCACTTGCCTAGCAAGTGTGAGGTACTGCGTTCAATCCTCAGCACCACATAAAAAAATAAAATAAAGATATTGTGTCCATCTACAACTAAAAAAATATTTAAAAAGCAAATGATACTCAGGAAAATCTGTCACCATTAGAAGTTGCTAAGGTATCAATTCATTGCTCTGAAAAATTGATGAAGGAAGAAAATGAAGCACTTAGTTATATTTACTAAGTGAAGAGTTAAGGAAAAAAATGTTTCTAATGAATTACAGCTAATGCATACAGGATATACTCTATAGTTGTTAGCAAACATAAAAAATGAAGTCAAATGGGGGAAAGTATATTGTGTAAGAAAAAGCCAACATCTTAACCCTGTATAAAGATTGTTCAACTCCAATAAAAAAAGAACATGGGATTGGGTGATTTTTTTTTTTTTTTAAAGGGAGTGGGGGTGTTTGAACCCAGAGGCTTAATCATGCCAGGCAAGCATTCATTTATCTTAGTGCACTTATAGCATTTTGTAATCTAGAATTGGACATTCAGATTTTAAAATAAATTGATGCCAATTTGCAGAATTTAATACTTTTTTTTTTTTTTTTTTTTTAGGCTGAATCATGTCAGGGAGATTTAAGTACATTGGCCAGTGTGGTTACCTCATTAGCAAATCTTGGAAAAACTAAAGATCTTTCTCAAAATAGTAATGAAATATCTATGATGGAAAGTTTAGGCAATGGTGATTCATCTTTGTGTGACTTTCAAGAAACACAGAGCAATGGTGATGTTTCAAGGTAAGTGTCTTTTTAAATGTTTTAGCATTTACTGGTATATGTTTGTTTTAAACACTGTTGATTAAAGTTTCTATTAGACTTAGAAAATTTAAAGTGTAGTAAGTTTTAACTGAAAAACTGCATTTAATATAAAATGTTGAGCAAATTACATTCTAAATAATAAGCAATAAGTGAATAAGATTAGAATGTATTTGTAAAATTTAGGAATATTTTCCCTCTTGAGTAGTAATTTGCATCTGATATTTTAATTGCTAGATTTTATCTTCTGTTTATGTAAGCACAAAATATTTTCTTTCTAAACAGTCTTATTGATTCCACATACAATAATTTTTATTGATAAAAATAAATGTAAAAGACACCCAGTTGAATGAACTACACTTGAGGAAAATAATGCAGAATTCTGTTTTTTATTCTGTCAGTGTTAACGCTTAGGATTTAGAAACCAAATGTCTTCAAACTTTTCTTGTAGTTCTGTCACCTAAAATATTAAATATTGTTCTGGGCTGTAGCACAGTGGTAAAGCACTTGCCTAGCATGCCCAAGACCCTGGGTTCAAACGTTAGCACCAGAAAATAAATAAAATAAAATATTGATAAACTGCGATTGAATCACAATAAGTACTTTATTTAAAATGAGATTTTAAGGAGCTCTAGAAGGCATATCATTGAAAAATATGGGGTGTTACTTTGAATAATTATTTGCTAATAGTTTATTATTCTTATTTCCAATGCTTAACAGTTTTTACATTTACCTGTGTAACCAGATTTTAAATTATTCTCTGAATTTTTAAGTCCCAACTCTGTAAATAGAGCACAAGAATTCCCCCCCTAAGATTTTTTTTAGAAGAAACTTAATTCCTTGATATTACATTAATCTGATAATATAGTGTTTCATACCATACGTATAAAAGTTTAATTTGTTGAGTTTGAAGAGAATCATACAAGTCATTAAAATAAACTGTTGATATAGCAAATATCTATTTTCTAAAGTTGTGGAGGTTGTTTCGTTTTGTTTTGTTTTGTGGTGCTGGGGAATTAAACCTGGGATCTCATGCATATAAGGCAAGCACTGTACCACTTAACCCCACATACCCAACCTATTTTCTAAAGAATATTTTAGGTCTTAAATCTTTGTGGGGAAGGGTGGGCCTCCTGCATGCTAAGCAAATGTTCTGTCACTGAACCACTAGGCTTAGGTCACAATTCTAGAATTTTCTGTAGAATTTTTATTTTACTCTTGGAGATTGGTCAAGCTCACAGCTTCTGATGTCTCTTTTTAGGGCATTTGACACTCTTGCAAAAGCATTGAATCCTGGAGAGAGCACTGTAGAGGGAATGGAAGGAAGCGTGCACCTAATTGCTGGAGATTCAAGCATAAATTACATCGAAAAAGAGGGGCCATTTCTCAGTGATTCACATGTAGCTTTCAGGGTATTTCTATATGTTTTTAAATTTTCTTATTGTGTTATTTGATTCTGATGTTCCTTTTAAAAAATGAAAGTGTGTTTGTTGTACTTTTAAACTAAAAAATATCCCTGGTTAGAATTCCAAAACTAAAACTAATGTATACATCTGGCTAGAAAAGATAATGGCTCAATAAAGCATCCTGTTATGATAGTAATTAGTGTGCTTAAGTCTTAAAAAGTTAGCTTTTACAGCTCTTTAACCATAATTGTTTTTTTTATTTTGAAGTTTAAGCATTGGCTTTAATGATGTTTTAAGTGCACTGCTTTTTGTTCAATACCTGGCTACTACTACTTTGGTGTAAATCAATAACTAAGAACCAGATATTCTGTGGTACTACAAAGAACTCCATTTTTCTAATCACTCTAATTAACTTTTCAGTGTTGTTATAAGAAGGTATAAAATTTTAATAATATTAGTTTTTTTTAATGCTACTTAATTTTTAAAATTTTTTAGTTGTAGATGGACACAATACCTTTATTTTATTTATTTGTTATTACATGGTGCTGGGGATTGAACCAAGTGCCTCACACGTGCTAGACAAGAGCTCCACCACTGAGCTTCAACCCCAGCCCTAGCTTTTGGTTTTTAACCATTTTGGAGGAGACACATTTATTTTTTTGCCATAAATATATTCTTCAGAATGGAAACTATACACATAGAATACTAGAAACAATATATGTAGTAGACTAAAAAGTTACTTTTTAGTATTTGTTTTGTTTTCAAATGTTATTTGTTCCAGAGTTATAAATATGCTCACTATTGAGACCTCACTTTAAGAACCTATTATTTGGCGCTCCATCTTAACCACTCTGTATCTCTGCCAGCTGTGGCTGATGTTAGCAAGATGTATGTAAAGTGATTGAATATACATGGGAGGTTTTCCTTAGCAATCAATGCAGGGCCTAACTATTCTGTAATGCCTTAGGGTGATTGCTCATAATTTTATGGTAGATTATAACAAATTTCTTAGGAAAACTTGCACAGTTATTTATATAATAAGTGTATTACCAGTAGAAATAATGAACAGAAAATAAATATAACATTAGCCAAAACTGTGTATGATAATGTCTTTTTGTAAAATTCAGTTTGTAGAAACAGCTAGAGAAAACGCATTGTGACTTTAATAATGGCAGATTGCTATAATTTAATATAATAAAATATATTAGTGAAGCCAATTTTCATATAAAATTTTACTAAAGAAAACTTTAGTAAAATTCAAAATGTTTTATCTGTACTATACAGGGCATTTTTAAAATATTTATTTTTTAGTGGACACAATATCTTTATTTTATATTTATGTGGTGCTGAGGATCAAACTCAAGTGCCTCAGGAATGCTAGGCAAGCACTCTACCACTGAGCCACAACCCCAGCCCCTATACAGGGCAATTTAATATGAATAATTAGTGTAATCTGGGCAAGGTGGTGCACACCTATAATCCCAGCAGCTTGGGAGGCTGAGACAGGAGGATTTGGGAGTTCAAAGCCAGCCTCAGCAAAGCAAGGCACTAAGCAACTCAGTGAGACCCTGTCTTTAAATAAAATACAAAATAGGGCTGGGACTGGGGTTTAGTGGTCGAGTGCCTCAAGTTTAATCCTCAATTACCAACCCTCCAAAATTAGTATCATCCTAAAAAATTATGCTAGGTATAAACAAGGGTGGAGCAAGGCAGATTTTGATTATTTTTTTCTCAGTGTTGTTTTTATTCTAAATAGAAGATATTCTTTTGTTAGTTTTATTTTCTGCTCTTCTACTTAAATGGGAAGAAGGGCATAATGAGACAAATGCAGGAAGAGGATCCAGCGTGAGGAAAAAGGACAAAGGACTTGTTTAGAAAGAAGTTGTTCAACTTTTTTGTCTTTGATGTTGGTCCTCAAGATTTTTGCTCCCTTGAAATAAGAGTTTTAAACAGATGAATTGGAAAAACTAGAACTTTGTTTTTCTTTCTGGAATTGGCTTTTTTCCATTCTATCTTTGACTGTTATACCCCGTGTGTCCTCAGAGTTAGCACTGTGAAGCTTCTTTGCTGCTGAAAAGGACAGCTTGTTTTGATTATTATTTACAGTTCTGTTATGTCGAGAGTTTTATGTTTCCTTGATTTCTCTTGAAAAGTTCCTAGAGCCAGGTCATTTCATGGTTGGTTCTCTCATTGAAATTTACTGGTCATGACTTGAAGACTGACATCTGTAATGAGATAGCTCAGTTCTCTTATTTGCTAGGCTAAATTATAGCATGTTCTTCAATTTTTTTACAGCACATTTTCACATACATTTCTTCCCTTAAGTCTCACTACAGTCTTCTGGGGACATTTGAATTTTTATTCTCACTTGGTAGATGAAGAAAGATATTAAGAAATTTTTCAGCGTCTTTTTCAAAATGACCTACATAGTCAAGAAAAATAGTCTAATAACAGAAATAGAATAATAAATAGAAAAATAGAATAATAGAAAAATAGTCTGATGAAACTGGAAGTTGAAAAATTTAGAATGATAATAATGTATGACAGTTTTATTAAACTCGAGTCTTGGGTATGATTTCATATACCTAGTTCACTTGATTGTGAAAATTTCTTTTAAGAACAATCAATATAGATAGCATTTCCATTTTAGAAATCAACTTATGAGACAAAAGATGATTTCCAAAACTTTTCTTCTTTTGTGTGAGTTATCTCAATATTAGAATCACAGTGTTTTTAGTAACCAGTGTTTGCATCTTGGAAATCCTTGTCATTCTCCCCATGCCTTATTCCTATCCATACCATAACTGAAATTTAACCTTTCTGGTATTTTTGAGTTTGTCCCTTTCTGCTTATTCCTGTCACCATATTTTAGACCTTTTAAAATCTCCAGCTTGAACTATTAACAGTAATATCGTTTCCAGTCTGTCTTCTTCATCTTGTCCTGTGCATTGGTATTAGAGTGATACTTGCTTTAAAAAAAAAAAAAATCAATCTAATAATGCCACTTGGCTATTTGTAAGCCTTGAGCTGAGAGTGTAGCTCAGTGGTAGAGCCTCCACTTAGCATGTGGGAGGTCTTGGGTTTGATCCCTGGGCTGCCAATTTTTTTTTTTTTTTTTTTTTTTTTTTTTTTTTGGTACCTGGGATCAAACCCAGGGTCACTTAACCACTGAGCCCCAGCCCTTTAAGTTTTATTTTGAGACAGGGTCTCACTAAATCCTTAGGGCCTCACTGAGTTCCTCAGGTTGCTTACAAACTTGCAATTTTTCTGCCTCAGCATCTCAAATCACTGTGATTATACTGCATCTGGTGCCAGTTTTTTAATTAAACCAGGTATAGTGGCACACACCTGTAATCCCAGCAATGTGGGAGGCTGAGGCAGGAGATCCTCAACTTTGAGACCACCCTGGGCAACTTATCAGACCCCATCTCAAGATTTAAAAACGTCTGGTGATACAGTTCAGTGGTAGAGCCTTGACCTGGCGTGTGCAAGGTTCTGTGTTCAATTCCTACTATAAAAAAATAATAATAATAATAATAATAAATTAATTTAAAAAATCAATAAAACTTTCAGTACCTTCTCTTACCCATATGGAACTAAGTTCATTTTAGGGCCCTCCACATTCTGATCCAACTGCCCATTATTTCTCACACATGTATCATTTCCTAGCTTAGCCATTTTCATTTTATTCCTCTACTGAAATAGTAGCACAGGGATGCTTTCTGTAAATGGTTTTTGGATGAACAGTCTACATAGTCATATAAATAATTAATAAAGAGTTAAAAGGTAGAATCCATACCCTAACTAAAGTAACGTAAAGCCTACATCATGTATACTATTAGCAGAATTCCATACAGAAATAGTGTTAGAAGGATAATTGCAAAGGCAAGTGATAACCTCTAAAATAGATTGGTCAAGTTTAGGTCTTGTCTATACCCCTTAAAAAATCAGTTCAATTTATTAATTTTCTATAGTTTAGAAAATATGTATCATTCTGTTTTAAAAATAAAGATCCACAGACATTTTGGGGAAGCTTTAACAGCTTTGTAGTAGAAACTTCTATATATGTATAAAGAAAATGTTGTTTCTTCATCCACATTAACTTTCTGATCATAACAGTAGAGGCGTATTAAAGTCTGTAAAAGATAAATCATAAACATTTCCTCTTTTTCCAAAATTATATAGCATGATAGTTGTTTTTTTTTTTTTAATAATGAGCTTCTTTAGTGTATATAGCAAATTATTTCAACTTTTGTGATTAAAACATGGGAAAGTTTTATATTATCACCACTGTTGTGGAAATTAAAGCCATTGTACCTAGTTTTTACATGTTGCAAGTATTTTATTTATTTAAAGGCCATTTAAAACTATTTAGTAAAGGGTATTTTTTTATTGTTGTTTTGCTTTTTACTCATTCCTCCCCCATAAAACTAGAAATGTTTGGTAATTCCCCAAAATTTTCAGGCTTTTTTTCCCCTACTCACCTTGAGAAATTCTGAAATGGTATGATAGTTCTCAATTTTTAAATATATGTGTTCATGTGTAGAGACAGTTGTCTTAAATTTTTAAGATGTTTAAGTTTGCTTGACATGTTAAGAATTGTCTCATCAGGCTCAGTGGCTCACGCCTGTAATCCCAGCAGCTAAGGAGGCTGAGGCAGGAGGAATGAGAGTTCAAAGCCAGCCTCAGCAACACTGAGGTGCTAAGCAATTCAGTGAGACCCCATCTCTAAATAAAATACAAAATAGGGCTGGGGATGTGGCATGGTGGTCAAGTGCCCCTCCGAACCAAAAAAAAAAAAAAAAGAATTGTCTCAGTTGTATTTTATTTCACTGCCTCAGTAAACATTATGAAAAATTTCAAATTTTTTCTTCTTAGGTCTGAGCATGTAGCTCAGTGGTAGAGCATGTGCTTAACATGTGCAAAGAGTTGGATTCAGTTCCCAGAACCTCAAAAAAAAATTATTTTTCTTTAGATAGGATTTCATCTATTAATCTTCCTGTTTTATTCCTTAACACCATTAATAATTAGGTAAACCATTTGTGGCTAATATTGAACAAAGACAGTTTTTTCTTTACATTTTTATCTAGCATTTCTAGAGAATTTTTACATCATTTTGATGTAAACTTTGATGTTTCACCAGGAGAACCTGGTGGAAGCTATACATACGTTCCCCAGAAAAATACATTTGTGCACATCTACTTACCCACCTCAGAGTTAGTCACTATTTCCTGTGTACTGTGCTTTCCTTTGTCCTTTCTATATACATATATATGTATGAACACTTAAATATTCTCTGTATTATAAATCAGATCATCAACATTCTGTTTTGTAATTTTTTCACTTAGATGTCTGCAAGATATTTTTTCTAGCTTTTGCATCTCAGTTTATATTTTTTAATACCTATTCTGTTCTGTAGTATGGATTATTCTTTTCCCTTGAGGAAATTTGGGGTTGTTGCCAGCATTTAGTTTCAGCATTAGAAGTAGAGCTACAGAGAATATCTTTAGTTGGTCTTCAACTCCTGGGCTTATTTGATCCTTCTTCCTAAGCCTCCTGAGTAACTGCAACTAGAGTTGCACACCACGATGCCCGTGATATGTGCTTTTTTGTGTGTATGTGTGCATGAATTTTTCTGGAATAGAAATACAGACTGAGTATGAAATGCTTGGACCCAGAGTGTTTCAAATTTGGGCAATTTTTTTGGATTTTGGAATATTGACAGAGACTTTACTAGTTGTTCATTCCTAATATGAAAATCTACAGTGCTCCAAAATCCATAAATTCTTGAGCTATGAAGTGTTTCAGATTTCTGATTTTTGGATTAAGATTACTTATGACCCACATTGGAGGCAGAATAATTTTTTAAATACTTTTTTATTTAGTACTTTTTTTTTTTTTTTGATGGTGATACTGGGATTCAAACCCAGAACGTCAGGTATGCCAGGCTAGTGCTCTACCACTGAGTGACATCTCCAGACCCCCTTTTTTAAATAAGACTTTACAAAAATCCTGAGCTTTTTGAAAAATTGAAGGAATGGCAGTGTTGAGCCCAAATTCTCATGTTTTATTTATGCTGGATTCAAGTCACTGCAATGCCGTTTGTCTGGGAGTATGCTCTCCCCATTTGGCACCGGTATTTCTGCTTTACTTGTTAACTTTCCTACCTCTGTAAGCATTTGAATGTATTAACCCTGTAGTCTAAATGAAACAGGATTGCACGTGAATTTGTTTGTGTACTATTGTTAGTAGGGAAGGAGAAAAAAAAACGCATTGATGAACCAAGATAGGAAGTAACACAACCAAATAATACCATGGTTGATATTTATTAAGTTAGATTCTGCTTTTCTGAATATTGCTTTGATAGAAACTGTGATCTCATTTATAAACCCTTTTGTTAACTTAAAATCCAGTAATTTGGATAATTTCAAGATTTTTATGAGCATATTAGATTCATATTGATGTGTTCTGTTTACATTCAAATTTTTCAAAAAAATGATAATTTAGAACTTTCAGTCATAAGATAATTTACCTAAATCCCTGTTCATACTAGCTCACCATGCCTTCTCCTATGCCTGAGTACCTGAATGTGCACTACATTGGGGAGTCTGCCTCCAGACTGCTGTTCTTATCAATGCACTGGGCACTTTCGATTCCTTCTTTCCAGGCACTAGGGTGAGTGTTTTGAAGTCCTTGAGTATAAATGTGATTTTGTAGCACAAATGTATATTAAGCAAAAACTTTTTATTTTGGGAGAATTTGCATTAAAGGAATAAAAACGTGTAACATTGTGACTTTTAAATTGTGTCATTTATATGGCAGCTAACTAACAATTTCTCTATATTATTTTTATGTGGGAGAGTATCCGTATTTCATAGTTTACTGACCAAGTTAACAATTTTAGTTGGAATATAATAAGTATTAGAGTTGATAGATCATGGCTGGCATTGGTAATGGCCGCCTTTGGTTGTGTCAAGGACAGTGCAGCTGTAGGATTGCCCCAGGTTGTTTCTCCTCCCACCATCACTTGCAGTGTTCATTCCAGCCATGTTTTTGGGAGCTAAAGTTTGCTTACAAAGGTTATGTTTAAAAATAGAGATAATTATTTTTCTAATTGTGTGGTTCAGTAGAAAAAGAGAAAGAATGAAAATGTAAACCCCATAGTACAATTACAATGATTTAAAGAGTTGATCTTACCACTGAAGAGTACATCTGTATTCTAAACAGTTTACTTTCACATCCTTTCCATCTGTTTTTCCTTTTTTTAAAATGGATGTCTCTACCCATCCCGATAGACAGTATTTTGAGTGTAACTAAGAAACAACTGAAACATGAAAGTAAAAGACATATTTGAAACTGTAATTACTAATTAGTGTCAGACATATCTATCAGTGTATTCAATCATGAATTAAGTAGTACAATTACATAGGCTAAAAACCTGATTTAGAGTGGTAACTATTAAAATGCTGTTAGCTCCTTCTCTCAAAACACAGTGTAAAATTTTACACAATATCAGTTTATTATTTCCTTCCCCACCACCCCCAGTACTGGGGATTGAACTCAGGGCTTCAGGCAGTAAACTGTACCCCACCCCTTTTTTCTTCAGGCAGGATCTCACTAAATTGCACCAAATCTCACTGTATACTTATTATTTTTAAAGTAATAAACTATCCTGACACTGTGACACACGTCTGTAATCCCAGCTACTCAAGAGGCGAGGCAGCAGGATTATAAATTTGAGGCCAGCCTAATCAATTTACGAGACCCTGTCTCTAAAGTAAAATAAAGGGCTGGGAATCTATTTCAGTGGTAGAGCAAGGTCCTTGTTTTCAATCCCTAGTACCTTAAAAAAAAAAAAAAAAGTTCTTTAAGATCATAACTGGTATACTTAGGCCAGAAAACCAACCTGGTGTATTTTATTGTAATATGTCAACTAAGAAAGGAATTTGGGGTGTAATTTCAACTCCATGGATTAGTCATGACATCATTGATCTTCAGTGCTTCTTTTGAGTATGATTATCCTATTGCAAATAATCCAGATGTTGGGGGGCAGCCCGAAGTTTCTGGTTATAAAATAATTTTAGTGTGATAATCACATTTCCCTGAGAGGTCTTTATTGAAAATCACTTTCAATGTAACAACCACAGGATTCTTTACGATTAGAATAATTACTAAGATAGCAGTCAAGACCATTAGGTGGTACATAAACTCTTATATCTTATTGCCTGTCTAGATATAGATCTTATGCTGACTTAATCAGATGGATAAGGACTAGATACTAATGATGGAAGAGTTTTATGTAGAAATAAAAACTTATAAATCTAGGAACTGGCATGAGCTGCATTTTTATTGCTAGATACAGAAGTTGGCAAAAAAACAACAACATAATTTTATAGAGAGAAACAGATAAGCAGTTTGTTATTTGATGACTTAGTGGAAGAGGATAGTAGCTTTAAATTTTTTTTTAATTGTGTAGTTATTTGTATTTTCTAAAGATAATTTCTGTACTTAAAGGAATTCAGGGTTTTTTTTAGTTCTTTCTTCATAATTCAAGTGAAGCTCTACATAGTCATAGGACATTCTGTTGAAGGGCAATGGGGGCACTATGCCTGATTTGCCTGGAGTACGTATGGCAGTAGTCCTTTCCACCTAGATTCTTTATATTATGTCACCAAAATTCCGAAACAAGAGGCTAGAGTTGTGGCTCAGAGGTAGAGCACTCACCTAGCATGCATGAAGCACTGGGTTTGATCCTCAGCACCACATAAAAATAAAATAAAGATTAAAAAAAATCTGAAAAACATTGTTTGCCACAGGAGACTATTAAGTAATTTAAGCAACCTTCCATGAAATGTTAATCCTGAAAGTTGAATCTTTTAAAATACCATAAACAATCCAATATACTGGTAACTTTGTGGGCTTATTGCCATATCATTGATTATTTTCCCCCAAGGACATGCCTTCAATTGAAATAGATGGTGCCAGGGAAAGAATAATGTGATGAGTTATTTGTGTAGATTATAAATCGTGGGGTATAGGTGATTTAGTCAACTTAATGCTTTTCTGAAGTGCTGGGAATTAAACTCAGGGCCTTGTTCATGGTGGGCAAGTGCTTTACCAGTGAGCTACAATCCCAGCTCTAGTGCCTTTTTTTGCTATCGTTATAACCTGTATTGCTTTCTGAGTGCTTGAAGGTACCTTAACTTCATTTGCTACCCAGCTCCTTCTGCTTCTCAAAGGAAAGATGTTTTGGAAATAGGTAGTAGAATGTGACTACAATAGTCATTTGTTAATTTTTTTCCTAACAGGAAAAAACAAAAACAGAAACTGATAGCCAATATGCCCTTACCATCCCAAAGTATTAGCTTTAAATGAGGTGTCTCTACTGAGAAATTTTACTTTCATAGTTTACCTGCTAACTTAGGTAAGGAATTATTATTATTTTTTAAAAAAAAAAAGCATAGCCTTTAAACATCTGGGTTTAAATCCTGGTTCTAATTCCTCTGCAACTTACACGTTTTTGGACTGGGTTACTTTATGAGACTAATTTCCCCCACCTCTAGATTAGGAGCAGACACTTGCTTATGAGTTATGCACTTATGTGAGATAATGAATGTAAATTTAATCCTCTGCCTGCTACAAAGTACGAAGTGGTCATTTTTCTTCATACTTTTAGGAACCTTTTTTAAAGGGGGTTCTTGTTTTTCTCTCCTAATGGAATGAACTTTTAAAAAACACTTAAACAACATAACTAGCTAGAGTACCAAGGGTTTGGGGGGTTTTGTTTTGACTCCAGATGCAGATAGAGAGCTTTCTGTAATTGATTTCTATTATTAACTCTTTGACTTTTCCTTTGAAAACGAAATTACCTGGTAATTTATTCCTTAATCACCAGTTTTATCTTATTTCTTTAGTAACAATTTTGATGTTTCTCATCTTCTGCAATGGTACTTATCAACCTTTTCTCTGAGCCTTCCCAATATTGTCAGGGTACTTTTTTCCTTTTTTTTTTTAAAGTCATTCAGATATATTTCATGACAATAGTTAAATTAAACTATAAATTATAAGTAGGAACAAGGCTAGAAATAAAGAATAACAAATATTCTCAACTTTGTGAAAATTGAACACAGTTTTAAATAATTCACTGTTGATGTAATAAATCAGAAAATTTTTTGTACAACATTACAGTCATATTGATAAACATAATAAAAATTGGATCTACCATCAAATTTATGTCCTGATTCCATATATTTTTAATTTTTATTCTTTTTAGTTATATGATAGTAGAAACCATTTTGATGTATTTATACAAGTTTGGAGTATATCTTATTTTAATTAGGATCTGTCTTATATATGTACACAATGGTGAGATTAACTGGTGTATTCATATATTCATACATGTTCAAGGTACTTTCTTATAAGGGTATAGCACAGGCCTCTATTATTTATTTCCTGTGTTCACTAGGTAATTACCTTGTTTAGCTGTTTCCTATTTAAAATTTCAGAGTTAGTTCGAGGTCAAGGTGAAAATTGGTTCACTTTTAACATTTCCTCATGTTTAAAATAATACTGAAGTATAGAACTATCAAGTTAAGCCTCACTCTCCAGAGGTAACTAACCCCACTGTTAATAGTTTGATATCCTAGATGTTTTTCTATGACACCTTTATTAAACCATCAGAACACACATTAACATAGCCTATTTTTTGCCTTGCTTTTTCACATATATTTTGGACTTCTTCCTACGGCAGGACATGTAATTTACCCTGTTTTTCTTATGGCTACCCACTATTCCTTTTTATGGGTTTATTATAAACTAACTTACTTGTATTTTGTTTGTAGACATTTAAGTTATTGCCAGTTTTCTTTGTTGTTATATCCAGTGCTATAATGCACATTTTTGCCTACCTGTGTATTATTTCTATAAAATAGATTCTTACAAGAAGAATTGCTAGGTGTAAAAAGGTGGACATTAGTATCTTTTATCTTTCTCTTTGATTTTGCTTAAACTGAGATTGAAATTTTGAATCCTTTTCTATATATTAATTTTTTTTAATGTTTAGTTTTCAGCGAACACATCTTTGTTTTGTATGTGGTGCTGAGGATCGAATTCGGGCCGCACGCGTGCCAGGTGCGCGTGCTACTGCTTGAGCCACATCCCCAGCCCTATATATTAATTTTTTAAATAGGGGTTTTCTTTGTATTTAAACTTTCAAACTTATTTTAGTAGCCAATTTCTTGTGATATATAATCCTTCTGAAGTATTGACTGAGAAAGAGATCAACCTGGAGTTAAAAATCCCACCTGAATAATTCCTGATCAGAAAAAATTACTTTCTTAAGTTTGCAGTATTAGCCTTTGTATTGAGTGTGTGTGTGTGTGTGTGTGTGTGTGTGTGTGTGTATATATATATATATATATATGTTTTTGTGTTTTTTTTTTTTTTTTTTTTGCAGAGGATTGGTACATCCCCTGCCCTATTTTTTGCTTGCTTGCTTGCTTATTTATTTATTTATTTATTTGCAGTTGTAGATGGACAGAATGTCTTTATTTTATTTGTTTATATGGTGCTGAGGATCGAAACCAGTGCCTCACACATGCTAGGCGAGTACTCTGCCATTGAGCTACAACCCCAGCCCTATTTGTGTTTTATTTAGAGACAGGATCTCACTGAGTTGCTTAGCACCTCACCATTGCTTGAGGCTTTTTTTTTTTTTTTTTAATGTGGTGCTGAGGATCAAACTCAGGATCTCACACATGCAAGGCGAGCGCTCTCTTGAAGCTGTTTTTGAACTTGCAATCCTCCTGTCTCAGCCTCCTGAGCCACTGGGATTACAGGCATGTGCCACCGCACCCGGCCTATTCTATTTTTTAACAAAATGTAATGTAACAAAGAAAGCTATGATTCTTAATGATTTCTGTTGAACACACTGATGATCTTAATTTAAGAAGGAAAAAAAAGTAAGTACCATTCATTAGGATGCACATATTTCTGATTAGGATGTTCTTACCAACTGAGAACTCTTTGGACAAAGGAAACCAATCTTATAATTTCATTATCTTAAAATAAAATTTATAGGTTTGGTTTAAAGATTGCTTGATTGTAGAAGGACCCATACCCCACAGGTTTTCTAACTGTCTTTTCTAAGTCTTAACTTCTACCTGCTGTATGTCCCCCAAAATCAGAAAACATGTGTTGAATTCCTTCTGTATGCCATGTACTGTGCTGTTCACTGAGATTGAGAAACACAAGAGAACATTGCCTTCAGTGAGGATTTATGTAATATGGGAGACAGACTTAAAACAATAAATTAGGATACCATGAACTATGAACATATAGTTAGCACCAAGGAAGGGAGAGGAATGTTGCAAGAGAATGTCTCTTCAAGAAAGTCAACTTTGAAATATGTTAAGGGTCAAATAACCCTATTAACCAGGAAAACAACGCAGGGAAGAACATTTCTTTTTTTCTTTTTTTTAATTTATATATGACAGCGGAATGCATTACAATTCTTTTTTTTATCTTTTTTTTTAGAGAGAGAATTTTTTAATATTTAACATATTTTTTAGTTTTCGGCGGACACAACATCTTTGTTTGTATGTGGTGCTGAGGATCGAACCTGGGCCGAACACATGCTACCGTTTGAGCCACATCCCCAGCCCTACAATTCTTATTACACATATAGAGCACAATTTTTCATATCTCTGGTTGTATACAAAGTATGTTTACACCATTCGTGTCTTCATACATGTACTTTGGGTAATAATCATCATGACATTTCACCATCATTCATAACTCCTTGTCCCCTCCCTTCCCCTCCAACCCCTCTGCCCAATCTAAAGTTCGTCTGTTCCTCCCATGTTCCCTCTCCCTATCCCACAATGAATCAACCTCCTTGAATCAAAGAAAACATTCAGTGCAGGGAAGAACATTTCAAGAAGACCACTTTTAAGTAATTCACTCAACACTGTTTTTTCTTCTGTCCTAGGAATTGAACCCAGGTGCACTCTACCACTGAGCTACATCCTCAGACCTTTATGTTCTTTTATTTTGAGACAGCATCTTATTAAGTTGCTCAGGTAGATCTTGAACTTAGGATTTTCCTGCCTCAGCTTTCTGAATAGCTGAGATTGCAAGTGAGTGCCCACCATATCCAGCCCACACAACACTTTTTATTGAACACCTGTTATACACTTGTTATCATCATGGCATCTGCATTTATTTTTTTTTCTTCTTCCTGGAATATTATTCTCATAGATATTACTTGTGTGCATGCATGTATGTGTGCATCAAACCTATGGCCTCACACATGCTAGGCAAGCACTCTACCACCAAGTTACATCCCCAGCCCCATATTTTTAAAAAATTTCTCTGCCATCTTTCTCAAAATTACTGAAATTTCACTGCCTCAGCAATGGCTTAGAGAGAATTTTAATATTTATTTTTTAGTTTTTGGCAGACACAAGATCTTTGTTTGTATGTGGTGCTGAGGATCGAACCCGGGCCGCACACATGCCAGGCGAGCACGCTACCACTTGAGCCACATCCCCAGCCCAGCAATGGCTTCTTTAACCACCTTAGCTAAACCTTGTCATTTTCTTATGTATCAAACTACTTTATAGCAATGTAGAATTGTCACTACCTGAAACTTACTATGTGTATAATCACACACATATATATAGTATTTATATAGAGCGTTTGAAATTATACTTCTGTAGTGTTTCCCTTCTTTTTCATGAAGGCATACGTAGTATATCTTGTTAACTGCTAGTTCTCCAATGCCTCAGAGAGAACTTAGCATGTTATGATCTGTTTCTCAATATAGTCATATTTTTTAATTGATGCATTGTAATTACATGCATTTATGGGGTGCATTGTGACATTTTATTACACTTATAATCAGTTGATCATGGTAACTGTCATATCTGTCACCTTAGATACATATCATTTCTTTGTGTTAGGAACATTCAAAATCCTCTCTACTAGCTGTTTTGAAATATTCAATTATTATCCACCATAGTTATACTATTGCACTACAGAACATTCGATTGCTCAGGTAGATCTTGAACTTGGGATTTTCCTGCCTCAGCTTTCTGAATAACTGAGATTGCAAGTATTGATTTATACTTTTGTTTTTTAATAGCTGCACCCCTGCACCCCTGAGACCATTAACCTTCCTTCATCACTTCCTTCCTCATACCCCCTCCAGGATCTGGTCACCACTATTCTATACTTCTTTGAGGTCAACTTTTAGCTTCCGTATATAAGTGAGAACATGCACCTCTTTATAATTTTAAGCATGATATAGTACGTACAGTGTCTGCATTTTAGAAAGTTATACAGCCTGAGACCTGGGGAGCTTACTTGTCTAATTTCAAATGGATAACTGATTTTTTTAACCATAGTGCTTTGTACTTCTAAATATTTTTTCTATTTTCTTATTCTGTGAAAAGAGTTCTTATTCAGAAATTCAGGAAAGGCCTTTGGCTTTTTGTGTTATTCATAGTAAAATTGTGGGTATCTCCTTCACAGGGATACTAATGTCTCTTCTGAATTATAGAATGAATCATTTCTCCACCAAATTTATTGCTTTCCTACTGCCAAATAATTCAGTTACCTCTTTATAAATTTAAAGGAAAAGAAAGCCAGGCTAGGGATATAGCTCAGTTGGTAGAGTGCTTGCCTTGTATGCATAAGGCCCTGGACTTAATCCCCAGCAACACACACAAACACAAAAGGCTAATTGATATATATACACATACACACATGCTTTTTTCAGTGGGGAGGGTACTCGGAATTTAACTCAGGGGGTACTTTACCACTGAGTTACATCCCAATCTTTTTTATTTTTATTGCTGAGGCCCTTTCTGACTTGCTGAGACTGGCCAAAAACTTCTGTTCCTCCTGTCTTATTTTAAGTTTATAATATTACTTTTAATTATTCTTAGAAACTAACTGATAATGAGCTAATATTTAAATTCTAAGCACTTTTCATCAGTTGCCCTCAGCTATGCAAAACACAGAATTGATAAATCCTTGCTCAGTTGGTGTTTCTAAGTAATTTTAGTTCAGTAATATTTTTAAGTACATGGATCAGTTTTGAAGTTTATAAAATTTATTTTAATATTTGATTTATACTTTTGTTTTTGTTTTTTAATAGGCAAGAAAACAGCATATCATTGGTAAAAGCTTACTGGAATGAACTTTTTACTCTTGGCCTTGCCCAGTGCTGGCAAGTGATGAATGTAGCAACTATATTAGCAACATTTGTCAATTGTCTTCACAGTAGCCTTCAACAAGGTAAAAAGCACCTTATTTATTACCTTTTCCAGGATATAGAAGGAGGCATCCATTTTATAGAAGGTTATGACTAAAGTTAGATATCCTGATGATTATATTAATGTTTTAGGTACCTACCCTTTTAATGCAATTTTTATATTTTCTTTTTTAAATATTTATTTTTTTAGTTGTAGTTGGACACAATACCTTTATTTATTTATTTATTTTTACGTGGTGCTGAGGATCGAACCCAGGGCCTTGCGTGTGCTAGGCAAGTGCTCTATTGCTCAGCCCCACAATTTTTACATTTTAAATAAGATTTATTAATCATCCAAAAATACTGTTAAATGAGAGTGCAGCAAAATTGAAAACTAGGATATTTAAGTCTGGCAGGCTATCCTAGTCCATTTCCTGTTGCTGAAGCAGAATGCCTGAATTGGAGTTATTTGTAAGAAAGAGGTTTATTTTGGCTCATGATTCTGGAGGTAGAACAAGCTGGCACTGCCATCTGCTCCTCTTCTTGTAAGGGCCTCATAGTAGAAAAGCAGAAGGGCAGGCAGGTACCTTTAGGAAAGAGAGCACATGGCTAGTGAGGAAGCCAGAGAAAGTCAAGGAAGCCAGACTTGATTTTATAACAACCTGCTCTCCAAAGAATGAATCTCAGTCTTGAGGAAGACATTAATGCTTCTTAAAAAGCCTTACCTCCTAACACCCCTACATTGGCACCCAAGTTGCAACATAATGGGACAGATCACATCCATAACATAGCCCAGACTATTTTTGACCAGACCCTATGTATTTTTATAGTACAGTACAGAATCCAAAAAGCTAATGTAGAGGTGCTCAAATCTCTAAACCATATATTTCCCAATTTTAAAACTGCTTTGCTTCATTATAGCCCTTTGATTCCCAGTATAGGCTGGTTTCATACCAGTTCAACAGAGTATATTCTCTCATGTGCACAAAGGAAGAGTCATGGAACAACTTTTACTTTCTTTTTCCTTTGCTAGATGCCAAGGTGATTACAATTGTCATTCATTTCAGGAGACAAGCAATAACTGGTTTATAAAGTACTTAACTTTAGAATGGCTTATCACTATAACCAGGAGGGTGTTTCAGCCTTTTGAGCTCAGGAATGCTTTTTACATTGGGGACTACTTTTTAGTTCCTTACTATATTCTGGTTTTCATTATTTTACATTATCTTTATTTTTTTTTTAATATTTACTTTTTAGTTGTAGTAGGATACAATACCTTTATTTCACTTATTTATTTTTATGTGGTGCTGAGGATCGAACCCAGGGTCAGGCACGTGTGAGGGGAGTGCTCTACCTCTGAGCCACAACCCCAGCCCTTACATTATCTTTAAATCATCTGCTTTCTCCTCATATTTAAGAGCAGAGAAATCACCTTAAAAATCTCATTTTCAGTAGATCTATTAGAAGGCAGTACCACATTTCCATCTTATTTATATACTTCTATTCCTAATTCTTTTCTTGTATACTTGTAGTTTGCCACATACCACCTACCTTCAGAAGGGCTATGGTTGACTAATTACTAATGTCTTATACACATCCTTCCACAGTACACTAAAATATTTACTGTAAAACTTTTTTTTTTTTCTCAGTTTTTCTTTTATCTTGGCAGGGTTTGTTTGTTTGTTTTGCTAAATATTTGTTTCATTATAGTAGTATTGCTAATTCTTAAAGATGGGTTTGTGCATTATTTTTTCGATCAATATGAGCTTAAGTAAAATACTGTTACTATATTTGGAGTCTTTTGTACTTTGGCCAATTTTGGGGATGATTGTCTCTAAATCTTTCCTTCTCAAAGATGTTTATTGAAAGAAAATGTTACCTTAAGTGTTACTGTAATAACAGTTTAGTTTTTGAATGAGCAATATCTGAAGATGATTAGTTTCATCTATAATTATATTCTGAATTTTAAACATTTATAGATTGATTATATTCAAAATTAGAAATCAGTAAGAAGGAAATATCATGCATCGAAATAGTCTTATGTTTTAGATGAAAACTAGAAGTGTTTGTTTTTTAATTAAAGATAAAATGTCACCAGAAAGGAGAAAATTGTTGATGGAGCACATCTTCAAGCTACAGGAGTTTTGTAACAGCATGGTTAAACTCTGCATTGATGGATATGAATATGCCTATCTGAAGGCAATAGTACTCTTCAGTCCAGGTATATAAACATTTACTTCTTAATTAAAGTACAGTGTTTAAGGAAATGGGGAAATTGAAACCCTCATACATTGCTGGTTGGAATGTAAAATGGTGCAGTTGTCTTGGAGAAGAGTTCATTAGTTCTTCAAAATAATAATCCTGGAATTACCACTATGACTGGAAGTTACACTCCTGTCAGTCTAAGAGAAGTGAAAATATGTATCTACACAAAAATATGCATATCAGGGCTGGGGTTGTAGCTCTGTGGTAGAGCGCTTGCCTTGCACACACGAGGCACTGGGTTTGATCCTCAGCAGCACATAAAAAAATAAATAAAAATTGTATCCATCTACAACTTAAAAAATATTTTTTAAAAATGTGCATATCAATGTTTTATAGCAGCATTGTTAATAATAGCCCAAAAGTAGAAACAACTCAAGTGTCCATCAACAGATGACTGAAGAATCAGCATATATATACCATGGAGTATCATTCAGCCATGACAAGATGTGAAATTCTGATATGTGCTCTATAATATGATGAACATTGAAAACATCTAAGTGAAGGAAGCCAGTCACAGTGGAACACATATTGTTTGATTCCATTTATATAAAATAATGCAGTGTGGGCAGATGTGAAGAGAAATTAAGTACATAACCGTGGTCAATAGGGTCTAAAGAGCTAGGACACTGAGGAGTATCTCCTAATAGGTAGAAAGTTTCTTTTTGGAAGGACAAAATGTTCTAAAATTAGATTGTGGTGATGATTGCACAACTCTTACCAACAAATCTTCCTTGTATTCTTTATATTGGAGAATTTTAAGGGTGTTAGACATCTGAGAATGAAAAGGAAGGTTGGAAAAGCAGTGAAGGCATGTATAGACTGTATTTATTTGGGTTGTCAGGTCAACATTGAAATTTTGTAAGTATATTTTGTTAGACATAATAAATACCAGAATGAGAAACAATTGTTGCTATGTCAGGGGGTTAAATTCTCAAACATCTTATTAGACCTAGTTTCTTACTTTCCTGCCAGTTTTCTAGTTTTCCAAAGACAAATGACAGAAAGCTTTCAATGATCAATTTATGAATAGGAAAAATTTAAGAGTTTTTATTAGGGTCTGTTTTTCATTTTGCTATGTATTTCTGTCCCTGTGTGTCATAATGAAATTATCTGAACAAATTTTTCAGTGATAACAGTAAGATAATTAGAGCTTATTTGTACTATTTATTCTAATGTTCACATGATTTAGTAACGTGTCTCCATTTTTCAGTGGTGCTAGAGATTGAACCAGGGCCTTGCACATATGAGGCAAGTGCTCTGCCACTGAACTATACTAGCAGCCATCATATGTCTCCATTTTTATCACAGGCAATGTGCCACCTTCATTTTCTATAGATGAAAGTTGAATGCATCATTTTTATGAAGTTCTTTTAGTATTCCCAGTTTTGTGAAATGTTACAGTGACCATTGAAATGCTTGTGTAGGGGCTGGGGCTGTAGTTCAGTAGTAAAGCACTTGCCTCGCATGTGTGAGGAGACACTGGGTTCCATCCTCAGCACCACATAAAAATAAATAAAGATACTTGTGTGTTCATCTACAACTAAAAAAGCAATATTTAAAAGAAATGCTTATGTAGATTATTTTACATTTTTTGATAGTGATAATGTCTATGTTTCACAATTTCATAAGTACTTTGTTACCTAACCATAGTAGGGTTTTTTCCTTAAGAAAAAAAAAAATACTAAAATACCTTCTAAATGCACATACTATTAATAAAAGATACTTCTTTAAGCTGTATCATTTTGGTTGTTCATTCCTTTTTAAAACCATAAAATGGTCAAAATCTCACTGCCTTTGGAACAGAAAGAAAACTTTTGTTTTTGTTTTGTTTTTAGTTATAGATGGACACAATACCTTTATTTTATTATTTTTTTTATATGGTGCTGAGGATCGAACTCATGCCTCACACATGCTTGGCAGTGCTATACTGCTGAGCCACTTACCCCAGCCCAAGAAAACTATTTATTTTGGTAACATCCAGTGATCTCATTTTTTATTAGATGCTAGAATATGTATATGAGAGAAAATAATTCAAGTATGTAAAGTCCAGTGTTTGGTATATAATAGGTGGGCTTAATAAATATTTGTGTAATAAAAGTGCCGCGCATTATATAAATTGGCTTCTTTTTTGACTAAACTATATTTTCATCTCCACTTTCAAGATTTCATTAAATGAACATTCAGAACTAGGGTAACAGTATATTCTTTATTGTTTCAGATCATCCAGGCCTAGAAAATATGGAACAGATTGAGAAATTTCAGGAAAAGGCTTATGTAGAATTTCAAGATTATATAACCAGAACATATCCAGATGACACTTACAGGTATCTAGATCTTAAATACTATACAATTAAATTCATTTAAAAATATTTTGTGAGTCTTATTATTTCATTATTTTCCAATATAAGAATAATCAAATGTTTTCAGCAGCATTATCTTTGGACTAGCTAATGCTACTGGAAGCAGTAGTGTGACTGGGATGTGGCTCTGTGGTGGAGCACTTGCCTGGCATGTGGGAGGCCCTGGGCTGATCCACAACACCAGAGGTGAAAATAAAGGAACAGTTCATTGTTGTGAGTACTTTACGTATAGTATATTCATCAGTTCTCACATTTTATATGGTAAGAGAGACAGGATAAGTAACTTGTTCAGGGTCACTGTTTGAGGCATCCACTGGGAATCCTGGAACTTAACCCCACCGATGAGGGGGGACTACTGTGTGATAAGGATTAAGTCAGTTCATATGTGTGAAGTGCTTAGAAGCACACCTGGTATGCAATAAGAGCTATGTAAGTGTGCTTATATATAATGAATAAAACAGTTTAGCATATTTCAGACTAATAAAAGAACATTTTATGTATAACACTGTGTTATACCAAGTCATGTACATTTATAAACCAATTCCATCAAGAAAACCAGCCTTGGTTTATCTGACTAGTTTTCCTACCCTGCTTCCTTTCAGTTCTGTGGATGGGGCTCACCTGCTGGGAACAAACAGGAACTGAGTATTTTAGTAGTAGAAATGTGCTATACAGGAGCTCTTGTCTCATTTGGTCTCAATTGTTAAGGCAAGGCCAGAGGAGGTTTTGCATAAGGGGCAGTTGAATCAAGGTTTGGTTCCAGTGGTCTTGATTCCATGTTCTATAACAACTGCTATCTGTTACACCATTTCCAATAGTTTTTTTTGCAGAGCATAATCAAGAAAACTTATTGAATCTCATATATCATAATAACACAAAACATTGCATTTGTACAATCTGAAAGGAGTTGCTAAGTCATTCTTAATTGTATAACCTGACCCATGGTTTAATAATTTAGTTACCTGGTCCTTAGATCCAAGTGGGACAACAGTTGAGAACAAGGCTTTCATGTAGAGCCTTTTAGACTACACTGGTATCCAGGTGACTGTCTTAGGTTTTACACACAAAAAGTAGATCTTTATTAAATTAGTCTACAAGTAATAGACATGCATAAATTACTAATATCTTTCTACAAAATCTCTAGTATTTTCAACTTTGTTCTGCTGCCCCCTTTTTTCTTTTTCATTTTAGATTATCGAGACTCCTACTCAGGTTGCCAGCTTTGAGATTGATGAATGCTACCATCACGGAAGAATTATTTTTCAAAGGTCTCATTGGAAATGTACGGATTGACAGTGTCATCCCACATATTTTAAAAATGGAACCTGCAGATTACAACTCTCAAATAATTGGTCACAGCATTTGAAAGCTGAGATCATAGTGCATAAACTTATTGTTCTTTTCCAGAACACAGGAAAACACCAAATTGTACTCATGCTTCCATAGTATGTGCAAATTTTGACTTTAAAGACTAACCAAGGGCTGGGGATGTGGCTCAAGTGGTAGCGCACTCGCCTGGTATGCGTGCGGCCCGGGTTCGATCCTCAGCACCACATACAAAAAAACAAAGATGTTGTGTCCGCCAAAACCTAAAAAATATTAAAAAAAATTCTGTCTTTCTCTCTCTCTCTCTCTCTCTCTCTCTCTCTCTCTCTCTCTCTCAAAAAAAATTCTCTCTATTAAAAAAAAAAAAAAAAGACTAACCAAAATTCAAGGTATTTTTATTTTAGCTTCCTTCAAAGAAGACTTTTTGAAGTGACTGGGCAGTCAGCAGAAATATCCCTTTCTGTCTTACATAAATAAATAAGAAATACTATGGATTTGTTCTTGGTAAAGATGACATCTGAAGCTGTCACCTCCAGACCATCTAAACTAAGATTTCTATTTTATAAAGCAAATAAATTAGTCTCTTTTTTTCCCCCAAATTGTGTTCTATTCATATTCAGCTTCATTTTGAACTAGTACGAACACTTAGTGGTCAAATATCCTTACAAAGAATTCCGTGCATTTTATTCTTCATAATGTAATCTGTTTAATTACCATATCAAAAGATTATTTTATGCTCAATGGTATAATGATAAAATTAGAACTATAGGAAATAATTGAATATGTATTTTTTTTACTTTTGTAAATATGATGTCCTTAAGCATATACCACTCATTGCTGGCAGTGAGATATAGGTCATTTGTGATTTTTAGTGTTATTATACCTTATTAGTTACAAGCACTTTTTATTTACATGGCAGCAAATGGTTCTGAGAATTGGTTTTGAGAATAAGGTGGCATTTGTGGTTTAATTTTTTTGGTTTACTGCTGTGTTTTAAACATAGTAGAGACTAACTGAACCCAAAATGTTTCAGTATTTCAAAATAGGTATTAAAATTGTTGTTCTATTCCATAAAATAACTCTGTCCTTTCCCTCTTTTCTGATCTGTGTTGTAGCTTCTTATCCCTGCTCTGGGTTTTAGCCAATTCCTTTTAGGTTATTAAAAAATACCCTAAATTTGTTAAATAATGGATTTATCAGAGCCCATCCATGTTTCCAAAGCGAGTTTAACAAAAAAGCAATTGATCAAAGATAAAGGAATATGCACTGATTTTTCACTGTAAAATGGAGGAGAGCTGCTTTAGCAGTAGGTGAGGCTCACCCTGAAACTGTGGTGTTGCCACAACAGCATCTCAGACTCCTGGGATGCCTTCCACAGTACTGTTACAAGCACAGCTGGTTCTGTTAAATCTCTTTACTCTGCTTTCATGATGAATTATTTTGATAAATTGCTTGTGGGTTTTTCAAACACAAATATAAAGATTTTATTGCACTCATTACATTTTTTAATAAGGAATTTTACAATAGAGGAAAAGTTAAAATTTGCAGGTGATGCAGATTTTACTAATTACTATTTTTAGTAGTAGCCAAAAAGTTTCAAAAGTATCAACTTACGCTTTTTACCAGTGTATTAAGGAAAATTTTTTTCCCTACTTAAATTAAATCATAATTTTTGTCACCTTTATTTTATAATTATCAGCTGTGAAAAGCTTCATTTAATATAAAATGCCCACCTGGAAAAGTCAGTAGGTTGATACCTTTTTAATCCAAGGTAGTAAGCCAAGGATTCAGAAAGATAATTCTTTAAAATAATGTACTAATGATTAATTACATTGTTACTTTCAGGTATTTTTCCTGATTAAATTTGTAGATATATTTGGAAGTGTTTTTAAAACTATATTAAAATGTGACTTGCATTACAAATTTCTGTATCCTGCCAGTATATTTTATTTCAGTGTTTATTTGCTCAGTATTTGGATATCCTTCATGTCATGAGGCTGAGAACATAACTTAGCAGTAGAAATGTACGTTATCACTTGAGGCCCTGGGCTCAGTCCCCAAGACCAAAACAAAAAACATTTATGTCAGTATTGTAGGAGCAAAAATAAATAAATAAAGCCAGGCACAGTAAATAGTGCATACCTGTAATCCCAGGGATTTGAAGGACTTGAGACAAGAATATTACAAATTCTAGACCAGCCTCAGTGACTGAGACACTGTCTGAAAAAAATTAAAAGGAGTGGGGATTTAGTGCAGTGGTAAAGCACCCCTGGGTTCAATCTGCAGTAGCAGATTATATCCATTGATGGGGAAATGGATAAGTAAATTGTGGTATGGTACCCAGTGAAATACTATGCAACACCAAAAAGGAGTAAATTGTCAATGTGGATGAATCCCAAAAATATGGAAAAAAGCAATCCCAGAATTATACAGAAGAGTATAACTTAACCAGTTCATTGGGGGGGGGGGTATACTCTTGAAGAGTAGTACTTATGTGGTAAAACTGAGTTTAAAAAAGCAAGTCTTCCTGGGTGTAGTATTACACATCTGTAATCCCAGCAGCTTGAGGGGCTGAGGCAGGAGGATTGCAAGTTCAAAGCTAGCCTCAGCAATGGCAAGGTGCTAAGCAACTGAGTGAAACCCTGTCTCTAAATTAAAAAAAAAAAAAATAGGGCAAGACAGTGGCTCAGTGGTTGAGTATTCCTGAGTTCAATCCCTGGTACCAAAAAAAAAAAAAAAAAGGCAACAGACTTAGTAATACTTAATTTAGAATACTACTTATTTTTAGTGGGGTAGGAAAGTGCAAACAAGAAGGGATATATAAAGGTGTTCAAAAGTATCAATAGTGCTCCAGTTATCTATTGCTTCCTAATCACCCCAAAGCCTGAAAGAACATAGATTTGCTTATGAATCTACAACCTGGACAGCCTGATAGGAACAGCTTGTCTTCTGCTGCATTCAGCCAAATCTGGGTCTGCTCAAGGGTGGGTTTGGAATCTATGAAATCACTCACATGTCTGGAAGTTGCTGGTGGCCATTTGCTGAGGTAGGACTAAAGCCAGAATGTATACACAGTATACGCTCCCTTTGTTTGCTTCCTCACAATATTGACAGTTCTAAGAACAAGGGTAGACAGCCAGGTGGAAGCCACTGCCTTTTGTCACGTGTCATTCGAAGCCATCCACTGTATCTGCTGTACTCTGTTCATGAGAGACACCATAAAAGTCTGTAGTTTCAAAAGGAGGGGAAATACTCTGCATCTCTTGGGGAGGAGGTAGCAAGCTTCTAGAAGAACATGTGGAGCCAGAAGTGTACTGGCCATTTTGAGGAAAGGATATTGTATCTCAGCAACCTCACTTAGAAGGCCAAGGTAAAGAAGGGGTTATCCAGACAAGGTTGGGGGGGGTGGGAGGCATGACTTTTGTCCATATGGATTGCTTATAAATTGATACATACAAAACTTTATAAAGTTTAAGCTATCGTATCGCTATGGACTAAAAGAATAGAACAAATTAAAAGAGCCCTTTATGCTGGCAGGAAGACAGCCAAAGAAACTACTCCGCTATGTGCCTGTCCTCTTGTAATTTCCTTGTGGCTACTGGGGCAGATGTTAAGAGTGAGTACAATGGGGAAGTGATCGTCTTTTCTCGCCTGTTCTCAAACCAAACAGTATCACTTGCTTGCCATTTTGTTCATTGAGGCAAAGGCCTACCAACATTCGAGGAGCATTAAACTGTGTGTGTGTGTGTGAGAGAGAGAGAGAGAGAGAGATCGTCAAGCAAATCCAAGAGTGGCAAAAATTCTCTTAAATTTCTGGAGCCAGGCGTGGTGGCGCACACTAATCCCAGCAGCTCAGGAGGCCGAGACTGGAGGATCAAAGCCAGGCTCAGTAATTTAGCAAGGTGCTAAGCAACTCAGTGAGATCCTTTCTCTAAATAAAATACAAAATAAGACTGGGAATGTGGCTTAGTGGTTGAGTGCCCCTAAATTCAATTCCTGGAAAAAAAAAAAAAAGGAAGAAAGAGTTTTTTTAAGTCATTTTTAGAAAATACATTATCACAGTATTCTGTTTGTTAAACTGGATTGTAGATTCTTAAGATGAAGTACACACCCTTGGCTGAGTATAGTGGCATATGCTTATAATCCCAGCTACTCTGAAGGCTGAGATAGGAAGTTTACTGAGCCCAGGAGATTGAGACCAGCCTGGGTAACATAGCAAGGCCTTTTCTCAAAATATAAAAACATACATATGTATAAACCTTCGTATGGACAAAGGACATGATAAGTAAGCACACACAGCTGAAAAAAAAAATCCATGCAGATGATAATTGAAAGTGTAGGATAGCCAAATTATATATATGACAAAATAGACTAAGTTGAAAATCATCACCCACAAGAGACTAAAAAAATTGTATAGTGATAAAAGGATCGATTTCTCCAGGAAAATATAACTTACTTATGTACCTAACATTGGAATACCCAAATATAAGTGAACACTGACAGAACTGAAAAAAAATAGAACAATAATTGTAGGAGATTTTGAAATCCCACTTTCAATAATGGATAGAACAACCAGATGAAAGATGAATCAGAAAATGGAGGACTTGAGCAACACTTAGACCAATTAGATCTAACTGAAGAAGGGCACTCAACAACAGCATAATACATATTCCTCTCAAACATACATAGGACATTCTCCAGGACAGATCAAATGTTATATCACAAAACATTTTTGTTTTTGTTTTGAATCAGGTTTTTCCTATGTTACCTAAGTTATCTTTGAACTTGGGCTCAAGCAATTCTCTTGCCTTAGTTTCCTGAGTAGCTGAAATTACAGGAGAATTCCACCCACCTATAAAACAAGTTTTGACAAATTTTAAGGAGACTGTATTAAAAATATCTTTTCCTTGGGCACGGTGACACATGCCTGTAATCCCAGCAGCTCGAGAGGCTGAGACAAGAGGATCGCAAGTTCAAAGTCGGCCTCAGCAAAAGTGTGGCACTAAGCAACTCAGTAAGACCCTGTCTCTAAATAAAATACAAAATAGGGCTGGGGACAAGGCTCAGTGGCCGAGTGCCCCTGAGTTCAATCCCTGATTACCCCCCCCAAATCTTTCCTGACTATAATGACTATTAACTTTATACTTTGAGGAACTGGAAAACAAAAGTTAGCAGAAGGAATAATAAAGATTAGAACAGAAATAAGAAATGAAAAAATAGTTGGTTTTTGAGAAAATCAAATTTGCCAAATCTTTAGATAGACTAAGAATAAAAGATGAAAAAGAAACAAAAGGAGACATTAATTACAATTGATGCCAAGAAATAAAATGTTGGGGCTGGGGATGTGGCTCAAGCGGTAGCGCGCTCGCCTGGCATGCGTGCGGCCCCGGGTTCTATCCTCAGCACCACATACAAACAAAGATGTTGTGTCCGCCGAAAACTAAGAAATAAATATTAAAAAAATTCTCTCTCTCTCTCTCTCTCTAAAAAAAAAAAAGAAATAAAATGTTCATTAATAAAAACACAAGGGGCTGTGGCCTGGGGCTCAGTGGTAGGGTGCCTGCCGTGCACGTGTGAGGACCTGGGTTTGATCCTCAGCATCACATAACAATAAATAAAGATATTTATTTGTCCATCTACAACTAAAAAAAGTTAAAAAAAGTAATTCTGTATCAATAAATTGGATATCTTGGAAAATGAATAAATTACCAGTACATGCTAAGAAAGAATGACGAAGAAATAAAAAATATGAACAGACTTAAAACTAATAAGGAGATGAAATCAACAATCAAAAATAAAGAAAGGACCAGGACCAGGAACAGATGGCTTCACTAGATTATTCTACCGAATATTGAAATAATGAATACCAATCCTCAAATTCTTCCAGAAAATCAAAGAGAAAGGAATATTTCCAAAATCACTTTCTAAGCTAGCACTACTCTGATACTAAAATCAGAAAAGACATAAGAAAACTACAAACCAATACCCCTGATGGCTATCAATGCAAAAAAACCTCAGCTAAATACTAACAAACTGAATTTGACAGCACATTCAAAGGATTATAGACCATAACCAGCAGATTTATTCCCGGAATAAATCTGTGGGTGGTTCAACATACAAAAAAAAAAAATCAGTGGAATCTATGACATAAATAGAATGAAGAAGTAAACTACATAATCATCTCGATACAGACAAAATTAAATGTTATTTTATGATAAAAAATAAATAAACTAGGAATAGAGGGAAAGGAACTCAAAAAGACCGAGTGAAAACCTAAAACAAAATACTCAACAGTGAAAAACTGAAAATGTTTTCCAAGATTAGGGACAGGCAAGGATGCCCACTCCTATTTAACATATTAGTGGAAGTCATAGCCACAGCAATTAGGCAAGAAAAAGAAAATCATCAGTACTGGAAAAGAAGTAAAATTATTTCTGTTCCTCAGATGATGTAACTTGTATGTAGAAAATCCTAAGGATTTCACCAAAGACAGGGGATGTTGCTCACTAATAGATTGTTTGCCTAGCAGATCCTAGGCCCTTGGTTCAATCCTCAGCACTGCCAAGGGGAAAGGAAAAAAGGTTAGAATAAATTTAGTAAAGTTAGTTGGAGGATAAAAAACACAAAACAGTCAGTTGTACTCTATATACTAACAATGACAATTCAAAAATATTTAAGACAACACATTTACAACAGCATCAAAAAATAAAATCAACAAAGGAGGTAGAAGACTTGAACATTAAAAACTATAAGACATTACTGAAATAGATTAAATACAAATAAGCCTGGCTAGGTGGCACACGCCTGTAATCCCTCAGGAGGCTGAGACAGGGAGGATCTCCCAGTTCAAAGCCAGTCTCAGCAATTTAGCAAGGCCCTAACCAACTCAGTGAGACCCTGTCTCTCATAAATAAAATACACAA